CATTGGACAGTGCCGTGTGCTGGAGCGATTCTCCAATACGGCAGGAAGAGTGAGAACCCTGAAGTCGGACAAACTGGATTTGAATCCTGGCCCTACCATTGGCAGCTGTAGGATCCCAGGCGAGTTGCCTAACTTCTTGGGTCACACGCTCCACATCTGCTAAGCAAGGGTGATGACACCTGCTGGATTTGGTGTGAGGATGAATAATAATATATGCAAAGCCCCTGGCACCATGTCTGATCCTAGGAGGTGCTTGATAAGTGGAGTTGGGTGGAGTAAAGAACTTGCTACCAAGAAAGAGCTGCGAGGCTTCAAAATAGACACAGAAAATAACTTAACATTTATCCAAGAATCAACTAGTAAAGGAGAAGCCTGAAGGATAATTATATCAGGAGACCTAAGCAGAGGAAAACTTACCGAAATGAGTGTTACCTTTATGGACACAGAGTAAGAATTATTGATTTCAGACTAATAAAAAGTATAATATGACATCATCAAGAGAGTAAAAAGAAAATCCCATCAAATATCAAAATGAGGAACAACTTCGAATTTTTACATAAGGCAATTGAAAATCCAAATCGAAGAATGGCAATGGAGAATGGAATGTAAAAATAAACCAAGGGCTGGACTCAAAATGAGTTTCCACAGTAAGGATTTGAATTTCTGCCTCCTTGCTAAGAACAGAGTGGGAATAAGGAATGAAATCCCTTTCCACACACCTATTAGCTTCTGTTTGCCTTTTCTTCCCAGATGTGTAGGATCTTAATGAAGGCAGTTATTTTGGTTTTTTTTTTTTTTTTTTGCGGTACACGGGCCTCTCACTGTTGTGTCCTCTCCCATTGCGGAGCACAGGCTCCGGACGCACAGGCTCAGCGGCCATGGCTCACGGGCCCAGCCGCTCTGTGGAATGTGGGATCTTCCCGAACCGGGGCACGAACCCGTGTCCCCTGCATCGGCAGGCGGACCCTCAACCACTGTGCCACCAGGGAAGCCCAAGGCAGTTATTTTAATTGTCTTACTGTATGCAATGCTATTCTTCTCTGTGCTATGAACCATATCACAGAACAGCTCATTCATTTAAGCGGTTTGCTTAACCCAATTATTCTATACTTAATCCTAAATCTTTTGAAAGGGCTAAGATTTTTTTTCTGAGTGACATCTTCTGTGGTTTTCCAATGAGACAGAAACTTTATCATTTTAGTTAAAGGGACAGACAACAAAATGGACTTTGTGAAACATCTACAACTCTATTGTTGCTTTTAAAAACATTTGACATTCATAATCTCATTTTATTATCACATCCTGTCCATTTCATAGATAAGAGGTCCGAAAAGGAGATGTCACACAGATGAGTTCTATGACCTGAATTTCTGTTTAAATTCCATCTTGCCCCAAACTGATGCACTTCCTAGTCTTCTGTATTGAACCTGGTCTTAGGGCCTTCTTTGACTTTCTTTTTCTCCAAACACCACTGACTTCCTTTGTCCTCTCAGTTCCCAATCCCTAAAAGGGGTCCTGTCCTGTGTCCCTTTCATTACCGGCTCAGGTTGCCAGCAGGAAAGAGCCACAAGGGGTTGTGACTCCAAGATAAATTTGCATTTTGGGTCAGAAGTTCTTGAAGATAAAAATATTCTTTAGTGTTTCCCATTCAAGATGGTCACTGAGTTCAGATGTTTATCTCTCTTCCCTGTTCAAATCCCATTCAAGTTATTATAAGGAAATACAAAAGGAATTTCTTGTGAGAGCCGCATCAGTAGATCAGAGATTTGGGGAGAATTTCTGAAGGGTGGGAAGAAGCTGGGACAATGCTGACAGGTAAACAAAGCAGAGGAACCTTCAGTGTGAATCAGCTGAGGGGAAATTATAGACAGGGAGGAAGCTGATCTCACTGGTAGGACTCCAGAAAGGCTCCAAGCAAGGAACCAACAGGTGTGTACAGGTGAGTGGGTGGGGATGCAATTCACATTGAAGTGTTGACCTTCTACCTGCAGAGCAGCTGTGCCATTGGTCTGCCTTGAACCTGTTGATGCCGTGATACAAGCATTTAGGCCCAAGCACAAACCAGTGACATAGTTGCTAATGCTGCTGAACATGCTCCTGGTCCTTGGGGCTCCTGGGATCGGTGTTGGTACCTCTCTGCAAACTCTCCTCATTTTGTCATTGAAAGTAAGGTTTCCCTGACTGCCTGATGCCCTGAAGCGGAGCCCTTACACCTGTATATGAAATAAATGATACACAAGTGTTCATGTAACACAGGAAGCTCACTGTCACTCTCTCTTTAAGGCAGGAATCAGCTGCAGGTGAAACCCACCGCAGTTACCGCTGCTAACTAATCAAATCATTTGTTCATACGTGCGAATAGATAACCAAGGATCACCGCACATTTGTTTATCTTGGTTTCTTTTTGGTGATGTTATTTTACTTAAAGAGAAAAATTAACTGCAGAGGAAATGGATCTCTTGATGGATACTATGGGAAAAATAGTTTTAATGTTTTCATTGCCTAAATTTGCTTTGAGGCAATATTGCATTCAACACAAAGAACGCCCTGTGAACAAGCGTAAAGCTCTTATACTTTAAGAAGATGATCGCTGAAATGAGCAGTTCAGTGCAAGGGGTGAAAGAAAATCTTATGGAAATATTCCCAAGCATAGAGCCAAAAGGCAATGAGGTGGACCCGGGTGTGATAGAGAAGTAGATGAGGCCTGGAAGAATCAAAGTATGGGATCTATCACAAAAGAGAGATGAGAAAAAACAGAGGAGGGGAAATAAGAAAAGATAGAGCAAGATTTCCCCGAGTTAAAAAAAAGATTGAATCCTTCCGTTGAAAGGGTCCATGAATACTAACCAATATGAATGGAAAAAATCCAATAGCGAGACATAGCCTCATTAAAATGTAAGCAACCAAGTATAAGGGAAAATTTCTAAAACTTCAGAGAGAACAAAACCAAGCAGCAACAGTTTTTCCACAAAGAATGAGAATATGACGTATTTGTATTAGACTTCTCATCGTCCGCACTGTCGTGAGAAAACAATAGACAAATACTTTTAAGCTGGAGGGAAGTGATTTAAAATACAAAATTTTTCACCAGTCAAAATGGCAAGTGATGAGGCAAAGTAAGTGCATTTCAAGTCACATAAAGTCTCAGAAAAATTTTTCTTGTGCCCTCCTCCTGGACACACAAAAAATTACCAAGAATGCGTTCCAGTGAAATGCAAGTAATTCACATAATAGTGACTCCAGCTCAGTGCAGGAGGGTGACTTCCCAGGATTCAGGGGGCCGGTGGTCCTGGAGGACGTGGAATCCACATTGGAGTTTGAAGACCCGGGGCTCTGAGGGGGTTGAGGAGTGAAGCAAGGAGGAGGGTTAAGAAGTTGGTAATTTATAGACGTGTGACATCATGTGCTCTGTACTTAGAAACTCCAGGAAAACCATACAGCTTTCTAAGGAAGTCACACCCTCGGTGAAGCAAACTTAAATGTGACCAGATTTGGGGCAGTCATGAGAGAAAGAAAAGAAAATTTATTTGATCTAGATTCTTGGAACCGTTTATTTTGTGTGGCACTCTTTGAATAGCACAAATTACATTTCATTCTCTGTAGAATGAAATACATATATATACTTATTTATTTATACCACATCTCCTTTATCCATTCATCTGTCGATGGACATTTAGTTTGTTTCCATGTCTTGGCTATTGTGAAGAGTGCTGCTACGAACACAGGGGTGCGTGTATCCTTTCGAATTAGAGTTTTCTCAGGAGCGGGATTGCTGGATCCTATGGTAGCTCTATTTTTAGTTTTCTGAGGACCCTCCATACCGTTCTCCATAGTGGCCGCACCAACTTAACATTCCCACCAACAGTGTAGGAGGGTTCCCTTTTCTCCACACCCTCTCCAGCATTTTTTTATTTATAGAGTTTTTGATGCTAGCCATTCTGACCAGTGCGAGGTGGTACCTCATTGTAGTTTTGATCTGCTTTTCTCTAATAATTAGTGATGTTGAGCGTCTTTTCATGTGCCTATTGGCCATCTGTATTTATTCTTGGAGAAATGTCTCTTTAGGTCTACATGCTATTCTATATGTTCAGTTGCTCATCTTTACACTTTAATTATATATATTATTTATATATATATATATTTGGTGGGAAAAAGAAGGAGGGGAAGCCAAAAGAAACCATAGAGGTATCAAGTTCCTTCTTTTATAAAATAGAGAATCCAGAGGTAATAAAGTTGAGAGATGCAAAAACAGAGATTTAAGTACTTTTAAGCTATAGAGTAATCAGTAGTAGAACTGAAACTTATAATATGATAAAAATTAGGGGAAAGAGCAAGGGGGTGATGTAGAGCAAATGAAAAAGAAAGCGAGCTAATATCTCAGTGGGGGGTCAGGAGACATTATTTAAGATGCATCCATCAGAGGTATATGACAAACACATACTGAGAGACTGTAGGCTTAGCTCCAAGCAGGACCACAGGCCTGGAGGCACCAGCGAGGCAGGGCGGGTGGGACCACATGCACAAGTGATGACTGTCTCATGCCTTGGTGCTGAGTCAGATCACAGAACTTAAAAATTTTCCCAGGGCAGAGAAGGGCAAGAATGGTCGAAGTCGAACTGTAATTCACACTGTTTCAGAAAAAAGGGAGCTCACCATGAAGTTAATTTAATTGTAGAAAATAAAGAAATTTGGTCCTTTTGAGACAAGCGCTCCCGCGCAATTGTTTCTGTGGCGCAAACACACATTGCAACATCCCCGATGCAAGGCTTGCCTTCCTGTGCTTTCCTTCACTGTTATCGATGTTTTGTGGCTTTGGACTTATTTTTCCTTTGAGATGACCATCAGAGAGTGTTCAGAGGCCATAATTACACTTTGTTAGGCCACGTGGGTTTCATAATTTCCCAGTTAGATGTTTTTTAGTCACAGTTTAAAATGTCCTCACAATGTGCAAATGCCAACCCCAAATCCACCTTTCCCTAATGGATTTTACTCTTCTGCAGGCGAAATGCATTCTCTCTGGTAACAAATGAAGATGGAGTGGCGAGGCTTGCTGTGAAGGGAACACGAGCCGTCACCAGGGCAGGAAAGGTCAGTCGTGGGTTGCCATGGAAGTTTCGGCAACGGCTGCACCACCGAAGGCTATTTCAAAGAAATGGTTGTAAAACGTGACCAAAGCCCCTGCAAGCCAGAGTGCATCACAGATTGGCACAAATGTTTATGGAGGTCAGATTACATGTCATCTTATTTCCATAGCAAACCTCTCTTTATTCCACACGTATGGAACCAAGATCCGTTTTCCTCACCTGATCCTTCACCAGGTGAAAAGATCCCTCTGCCTTGCCCCACCTGCGTGTGTGTGTGTGCACGCAGCATTACAATTAACTTCTCTGACCACTAATCTTTTCAGGCCAAAGGTTTGGATACCTGTTTGAGGCCAAGATAGAGAAAAAGAGGCTGAGTTGGAAAACCTTGTGACCTGGAGGGAGAGAACGGGCTCCAGAGGAAGGGCATTAGGTAGGTGACCCAATGACCAGTGTTCAATGGCTTCACAATGGCAAAGGCTGGACCCTGCTGGGTTTTGTCTCATGAGCTGTTAAAGTTGTGTCTAAGTATTCTCTCTCTTTTTGCCCCCTCTTCCAACCTCCCATTCTTTCCCGAGCTTTCTAGGATTCCAGGACAAATGAATGCCATATATTGGGAATATGAGTAACAAGACGAAACACTTACAGTAATCACTGCTTAATCGTGTTGAGTTGTATTCAGGACCGAGACGTCTCGCAGTGTGGCCCGTATTGCTGGGCATCCTTTCAGGGAACTGTCGGGACACCTGATTGCAGGAGAGCTGATGAGTGACACGTCCTTCCCACAGCAGTGGTGGCGGCCCCAGCTCTCTGTCTAGTCACAGTAACTCCCCTCTGCACTCCAACAAGTCAGAAACAATCATCTCTGCGCCTGATGAGCAAATGCAAACCCTGCCGTGGTGTGATGTTGATAGGACAAGAGGCGAAGGCGGCTAACATAATACAGACGTACCATTCGGATATAATAAGCCATTTAGAACAATAGTGGATGAAGATTCTCTGTCTTTCCCTGGATCTGTCTTCTTTTCCACAAGGGAGGGACTAGGTAGTTTGTGAGGAGAGTGCCATGCAATTGCTTTATAGAGGCTAAGCCTCTCTGCTACTCCTGCTGTTTTCCCTATGTGGATGATGAGAATCTTTGGTGCTGGAGGGCGGCTACTGGACCTATTAGTTTCACGTACATTTCATAGTGTTCTTAGGTCTGGAGAGCCCATCTAGCAACATTCACCTAAGTGGCTTGGTTTCCTAAGATGAGAGCTGAGAGTCAGCTAAGATCAGTGAAGCCTTTTGATAGACTTGTCCTAATATTAAAAAGTAAAAGGGCATTATGGATTTGAAAAGCAGAAACCTGCCACTTGGAATCTGACGTTGAATGTAATTCAGGTGTTAAGTGGAAATAATATTATTTATAAGTAAACTATTCTTTTCCTCAAGGTTGTAGGACCAAAGTTAGGGTGAAGCTTGAAAATGCACGAGGGTATTTTTGAAATAAGGAAACCAAATGGGGAAAAAAGAAACACTGGAGGGAATAAAATCTGTGATGGCGTTTCCCTCTAATGTTTGCATTTATCCAATAAGCATTTGCTAATGTTGGATCTACACCAAGCAAGCAATGCTTTAGAGAAAAGGGGTAAGGGAAAAGATAGTTCGTGTTTCCATTGCAGTAGTAACTGTTAATTCAATCTTTTGTGCTAGATGCGTCCTTGCCCTCATTTCTGGCAACTGATCGACCAGCGTGTTGAGTGGGGAGGGTATATCTCTTAACCCCATAGTCCTTGGGCTTGACCACTTGCTTTGGCCAATGGAATTTTAGTGAACTTGATGTGACCAATGATCTTGAAGGTGCTTGTGTGGTTTGGCTTGGTCTCTTGCTCTGCTGGGGTCCGTCATGAGAAGGATGTGCCCTGCATAGCTGCTGGTCCAAAGAGAATGCGGAGACAAGTAGAAGAGAACTGAACTTGAATCAAAGACTAAAGCCAACCTCAGCTGACTCACAGCCCAACACAGGGCTGCTCCAGGTGGTTAGCAGTCTCATGAGGAATGAAAAAGTACAAACGCAAAAGCTCTAAGCAGCTGACTTTTGCAATGGTTTGTTACACAGCTTTAGTGCAGCTAATATAATTTTTAAAATTAAATGAAAATTAATTGAATGGTGGGTATAATATAAAAAAGATAAAGTTTTTGGACCAGTTTCTAGATGATGCACTATTTGTCTTAATGAACAACAACAGTAACTTTAGTTTTGAAACTATTTAAAAGCCTGCTGTAGCTGAAAAAAAATCATATAGGGACAAAAAAAACTCTCCGAAGAGGCAAGTTTCTCCAGCCCAAGAAATAGGACGACCAGCTTTAGTTAACTCTCCTTGGAATTCTCATGTGTTTTACCAAGTATTTTCCTTGGCTGTCACAGTCATTACCCATTTCTTGCTCCCTTGCCAGCTCTTGGGGTGATACCTGCCACTGTTGCCATTGCCAAGTCAGCACCTGAGCCACGAATGCTCGCTGGCTGTGCTACTGCCATAATTGGAACGGAGGCTGCCAGCGCCAGTGGTCAAGGGGCTCGTGTCTAACCAGAGGGCACTGTCTCTTGTCATTGCCAAAGCTGCTGGAGCCAATTCGGCAGACATCGCGCCTCTTCCGATTCTCACTCGAGTGTTCATGGCAACCATCGCATCCCAGGATTTGTTCATGTCAATCAGGGCCGGGATAAACAATCCTAGAGGCAGGCACTGCATTGTAGTTGGATTCCTCTTCTCAATCTCTGGCACGGCCTGCTCTTCGCAAACTCTACTTGAGAATTTTGACTTTCTTCTCGAGATGAGTTCTTTGCTAGGACTCTCCTTAGTACTTGTGTTAACTATTGCTCTGGTAGGCTGCTTCACCAGCCTCTAGTCATCCCTTAGGGACGCTGGAGTCACCCCAAGCTGGAGTCCCAGCCACATTGGGATTTGCACACATCTTGTTTTTCTGTCGTGGAAGGTGACACTAGAATTGGCTGATGGAGATTTGATGGCCTGGAATAATCAATGTTAAAACAAGGAAGAGATAGAAGAGCTATGGGAGAGATATTGGATGACCTAATGTATTCTGAGCCAGCTCAGGGAATCAAAGACACTTCCTTAGCAGGAAATTCCTGCTTTGAATCCCAAGGACATATGGGATATACTGTAGACCTGGATGGTTCTGAGAGTGAAGGTCAATACCGAGATGACCCGAGTTTTGCAAAACTCTAAATATCTGTGACCTAGAATGGAAACAAGGTCACAGATTGTGGCAGGACAGTGACCTCAAGGGACAGTGCTAGGAGATGAAGCCATAAAATGAATGAGAGCAGGAAATTCCTGCTTTGAATCCCAAGGACATATGGGATATACTGTAGACCTGGATGGTTCTGAGAGTGAAGGTCAATACCGAGATGACCCGAGTTTTGCAAAACTCTAAATATCTGTGACCTAGAATGGAAACAAGGTCACAGATTGTGGCAGGACAGTGACCTCAAGGGACAGTGCTAGGAGATGAAGCCATAAAATGAATGAGAGAAGAATGACCTTGGCAGAGACTGTGAATGCTTGGAATTACTGCTTTTTATGCTTCTGGTACATAGTTTAATGAGATGGTGTCTAAGGATCCTTGTACCTCTAAACTTTCTATGATTCTATCTAGACGTTTAATGGAAAATTTCAGTTGCTTTCCTAATGCAGCGGCTGCATGTCTGCTATTTTAATGGGCTTGCTTTATATCCTGAATATCCGGAGGAGGTGGAGATAAATCAGCCTGAGTTCCATCTACTCCTTCGATCGAGGGAGAAAAAAATGTCTCATAGTATTGGAAGAGAGAGGCTGGAAGGTTTTCTTGCCTGTGGGAAAAGAGATGATGGGCTGAAATAACTAATGAGCAGAAACAGTTTTTGTGTCGCTCCAAAACGACGTGCAGGAGGGGGGACGTGGAAAGCCCTGGGAGTCCTACGTGTCTAGGAGGGTGACAAGGTTCGGACTCTTGAGCTTCGCACATTTTGGCTATATTTATAATCCCTATCAAATCGCCCTCATTTCGCTGAATTCCAACTTTTATTTCACTCACAGAACTCCTCCTACTACTATTTTTGTAGAGTAAAGCTGATTATAAAAACTTTATTCTTCACCGTTTGGCTTAATTCCTTGTGTTAAAGATGACGGTAAAAACGCATCAGTTCAGACCTGCTGCTTTAAATCCCTTTTTGGAAGCAAGTGTGTTCCTTCTTCAGCATCCTCTAATTCGCGGTCCATAGACTAGGAGATAGATTGAGGGTTATCTTTATTCCTTTGGAAAAGGAGCGTATTATAAACCAGTTAATACTCAAATTGAGAACGCAAAGACAATGCTTAGTCTTTTTAAGAGACTAAATTAAGAAGTTCACTTTAAATCTTTTAAGCTCTCCCTTTGGTGCATGAAAAATGCTCACGCATTATTTTAAAAAACAACGACAAACCTCTTATCTCCTTCCAAAAGCAGGTTAAAAGAACCGTCTGAGTTGTAACTGGCATTGATGTTGGGTTACCTTACTCTACATGGTAAAGAGTAATAACACTACCTCTCCTTTAAAATAGTGCATGATTTTTTTTTTTTTTTTTTGTCACTTGGAATGAGACTTGTCCTTCACCCCTCAATCAATGAGCCAGTATTTACCGAGATGAAATTCTGCACCAGATGCACCCTCCAGGAGAACACAGGGAGGTGGGAGGGGGCCCGTCTGTCCTGAAGCAGATTGAAATAGGGTGGAGGAAATTGAGCCTCATTTTTTTTTTTTAAACATCTTTATTGGGGTATAATTGCTTTACAGTGGTGTGTTAGTTTCTGCTTTATAACAAAGTGAATCAGTTATACATATACATATGTTCCCATATCTCTTCCCTCTTGCGTCTCCCTCCCTCCCACCCTCCCTATCCCACCCCTCCAGGCGGTCACAAAGCACTTTACATGTGAAAGGTGGCCATCCCCAAGAGACAGGAAAGAGAAAATCGTGCTCTGGGTGCCACCCTCCTTAGGAGGAATGAGGATTGTAAATAACAGTTAATTCCCTCCCAGTCCAGTAAATAAACAAGTTCAAATCACGTGGTTTCCAGCCCAGGGCTCTTCCATCTGCCCTGAGGTTTGTGAGATTGACCTGGGATCATTACTCAGGGGTCCTGGCCTCCTTCCCTCCTCCAGGGCCTGCCCAGTCTTTTTCTCTGGTCTCCGGTTGTTTCTAGCTCTCTGTGCTTCATGTTATCTGCTGATTTGTTCTCAGTGGAAAGCCCCGGACGGAGGTCAGGGGTAGGAAGAGGGCAGGTCGGGGTCCTCATTCCTTTGGCTTTCTCTCTGCGGGGTCCAGCTGTCTCCCTCGGCTAAAAGAAGCTGCTCCTCTCCAGGAAAGCTGTCCTGCAGGGTTCCTTGCCTTCTGGGGCTTGGTAACCTCTTCCCCAGCTTGTACCAGCCCTGCATTCTCCAGTCTGGTCCCTACATTCTGTCCTCACCTTTGCAAATAAACCCTTCTTGAATTTCTCACAATTCAGTGTTCTGTGTTTTGACAGAGACACTGACAGGTTGAAGGACCTCCTTGTTAAACTCTTGAACTAGTGGAGGGACATAAGGAGGGGAACTTCAGGCCCCGTGGTCCCTCGTGGCGGACCCGTATTTTGGTGAGGACTCCTTCATTTATGTCATTAGGCAGTCATCTGACTTACTTCCTTCTTATTGCCAACTTCGAATTGTTGAAGCCCAGCGCAGTTCTTAAATAAAAAATATGTGCCCAGCAAATGGAACCGATTTTAAAAGGAATTGCTCATGGTGATTTAGTGAATTGTCAGAATTCTATTTCATAAATAACAAAATAGAAATTAGGAGCATGTCAGAGCTGCATTAGTGCTCACCCATAAATAAGAATCATTTTATTAGAGCTGGTAAATTATGCTTACTTAATTCACATTGTCATGCCTGCCACTTCGCTATATATCCTGTGGGTTTTTCACTCCCTAGATGTGTTACAGTTCAGCAAGACAAACATTTTGGGTAACTGATATATTAGGAATGCAATTATGAGTAAATAAATGTTATTTTTCTGTGTTTCATACCGTAGTGATTGGCTTTTCTTCCGTTGACATGTAGGGCTGAGCTTCATGAAAATGGGAGATTAATGTATCCTCTGTGTGTGTGTGTGTCTCTCTCTCGCTCTTTTTAAGGCCAAGTGTGAAAAAGAAATGAAAACATGAAGAGTCTGTTAATGAATGTGAGATGCTGGAATAAAGGAGTCTTTGCTCTTCAGCTATGTGGCATTGATCCCACTAATGGTTTGGCTTCTGAGGAGAGAAAATCTTTGATCCGCTCAGTGAGTTGATGGTCATAGGACAGGTGGTCATGTCATGCAGGCCAAGTCCGAAGACGTAGGAAGCAGGGCATCTCCAGAAGACAGTTTCCATAAGCGTGCAATCCAGACCAGGGACAAGACTGATACATTCACGAAAGTGTCAGTAACACTGAAGGGCGACACGGGACCGGGATGAGGGTCGGGGGGTGGGAGGTGTCTGAGGGGCCCTCCCAGAGCAATCGAGCTTGAAGGACACGTCCAGGTAGAGACCTGTGTCTCATCTCTTCTGTTTGACAAGGATGTCCAGGTAGAGATCTATGTCTCGGCTCTTCCGTTTGACAAGGACAGTCCTTAACAAAGTTTAGCCCTGCCCCAATGTCTGCGGCATCATAATCTCTTTACACAGCTTCTCCCTCATCCCCAGGGCTCAGTGACCTTCAACTCCCTCCTGCCCTGGGTTCCTCACCAGATGGTTCTTCACCCCTCGCCCCACCACATCATCGTCCCATCTCAAACTCTCTCCCCTTCGCCCTTGAAAGCACCTATTTTTGTTCTATTTTTTCAGGCCCCTGTCTACTCGATGATAATGGGATGAAAATAATGCATATAAAACAATTAATATACTATTAATAAGTTACCCCTTCCTGGGAACATAGTGCCTTCAGCCAATGAACATGCTCCAGATCAGGTGCCTTGACCATCCATAGGGAAGGTGAGGAGAGGAACTCTCTGGGACCCTTCAAATCTTAGCACGTGGGTGGGAGCTCCCCATTCAGGGAATGACATGCTTTCACGGGCCTTGTAAGGTCTCTTCCTGGAAGGCTCTCCCCGCACCTCCAGACCTGCCTGGGGCTGCCAGACTGTATAGACTTTCTCTTAGTGTCACACTTTTGAAAGCACTCTCCTAGCTGAATATTTTGCATTTGATCCCCTAAATGGTAAAGGAAGGTACTTTTCTCATTTGACAGTTGGGGGAAGCGAAACCAATAATAACAGTGTAGGACCCAGGCCTCCTGAACCAGCATGGACCCTGTCACCCCTGTGGCTTTTCTGAAGATGCAACCCAAGTGAGTCTGATTTGCTTAAGACATCTGGGCGTTAATTTCTGAAATCAGAAAAGAGGGGGGCAGACATGGTGAATGGATACATTGTTGCAGTTAGTTTAGCTCGTTGAAGCAGTCAGATGTCCTTTGTGGTGGTTGTAGTCACATCAGTGAGAGCCAATGATTTGTGCTTAAAGTTTAGTGAAACGTACTATATTTGTTTAATTATTTCCATTTTACAGATGAAGAAATTGAGGTTGAGACGTGCAAAGTGACTTGTCCGAGTTGACTCTGCTGGTCACAAGGCGCCAGGCTTCCCTACCCAAATCTGCAGTGATGTCTCTTTCACTTGGAGGATAAAGGAAGAACTGAATTCAAGTTATTGCAGACTACAGAATCGCTACCATTGTAGTGACTGTAGTCTGCAATTACTACATCTCTTAGATATTGGAAATCACATGTAGTAAAGGACTAATCATACACATTTGTTGGGTGTTAGTACCACGATCCATCTCCGTATTTAAGCAGAGTTGATTGTTTAGAAAATGTGAGAAATAAACAGAGAGCTATTTTCTGGGTCAGTGAGGGTAACCCCTACCTTGGAAGGATTAATGCAGGCATTTATAGGCAATGAATAAGAATACTGTGGTCGTGTATGTGGAGGATCCAGGCATACCATTTAGAAATTACAGGAACTTGAAAAATTTCCCTCCACTCTCACCACCTTGTTCAATGAACTTGACTGAGTGCTTTACAGGGCAGGACTGTACTGAAGGCCACCAAGATGGACGACACTTGTCCCCTCCCAGACCACGCGGAATTAGGAAGACGCCACGGAGAGCGCCAGCCGCAGCTGCGGAAGTGCCTCCCATGGTGTCCAGCGGGCCAGTTCTCAGGGGACTTAGTTTATTTTTTATTCAAGTATAGTTGATTTACAATATCGTGTTAGTTTCAGTTATTCATACATACATATATATGTGTGTATATATATGAATATATATATCCTTTCTCAGATTCTTTTCCCTCATAGTACAGAATACTGAGTATAGTTCCCTGCACTGTACAGTGGTCCTTGTTGGTCGTCTGCTTCATGTATAGTATGTGTACATGTCAATCAGGGGATTTATTGAAGAGCAGAATGGACAGAATGGAAATCCAAATGTCCTCAGACCATGTTCTCTCTACAGCCTATGTGAAGATATCCTAGGTACTTACTTCAGTTATTTGCCTCTAAGTATTTTGTTTGTGGAGCAACGAGACAGAATTGGGTGAGAGAACCACTGCGCTCTACACGAGGAGGCCTGAGCTCTGATCGCCATCACATTGCCAACTTGGGGAGCCTTTGGGGAGGCCACTTGAATTGAACGGCAGGACAAACTGGTTAGGATCCCACGAGAACACCTCGTGTAAGCCTCGCCTCGGCTGCGCCTGGCGTAACCTCCATCGCATTGCTTAATCAACCCAGGCCTCGGTTTCCTCATCTCTACAATGGGGGTACCGTCAGAGCCCAGCTCACAGGTGATGGTGAGGCTCAAAGAAGCTGAAAATCAAACAGGGAGGGCTTCCCTGGTGGTGCAGTGGTTGAGAGTCCGCCTGCCGATGCAGGGGACACGGGTTCGAGCCCTGGTCTGGGAGGATCCCACATGCCGCGGAGCGGCTGGGCCCGTGAGCCACAACTACTGAGCCTGCGCATCTGGAGCCTATGCTCCGCAACGAGAGAGGCCGTGATAGTGAGAGGCCTGCGCACCGCGATGAAGAGTAGGCCCCGCTCGCCATAACTAGAGAAAGCCCTCGCACAGAAAGGAAGACCCAACGCAGCAAAAATAAATTAATTAAGTAATAAACTCCTACCCCCAACATCTTAAAAAAAAAAAAAGCTGAATAAAAAGAATAGAATAAACAGGGAGCCCTGTACGTAGCACTGGGGGTGCCAGGCACTGTCCCACCACTTTCTGTATCGTTGTTCTTCACTTCTCAGAGCTCCACCTTCCTTATCGCTACGGTGTACGGATAATAGATGCCTTACTTCCTCTTATAAGATTCTGCTGAGGGCCAAGAAAACACCCTCCGATAATTGTGATTTCAAGAAGAATATTCTTTTAAAATGACAAAGATATATTTGTGGTGATAATTATTATCAGCATCGGTAGCCTCGGAATTCCCCTGCTTTACAGAATCCTTGAGGAGGAGTGCAGGAACCGCAGTGGGCAGAAGGACCGCATTTCACGGAAATACTGGTCCAGCAACGCGTCACCCTTCCCGGCCACCCGCCGCCCGTGGAGCCGTGCTGAGCCGTGACCGTGGAACACGGGCAGCCCGATGCTGAGGACCACCAGTGATGTGGAAAAGTGGGGACGAGCTAATGAAAACGGAAGAGGTCCTATTTTTTAAAAAAATTTTTATTGGAGTAGAGTTGATTTACGATGTCGTGTTAGTTTCAGGTGTACAGCAAAGGGGGTCAGTTATACATATACATAGATCCACTCTTTTGTTTTAGATTCTTTTCCCATATATCATTACAGAGCATTGAATAGAGTTCCCTGTGCTATAAAGTAGGTCCTTATAAGTTATCTACGGAAGAAGTCCAATTTAAGCCTCGTTCATGTATTGGAAATCCGTGCTGCAGTTTATCCTCCAGTCATACACCATGTTCAGCATCGTCTGCCCACGAGAACTTTGGGAGCGTATTGGCTCAATTGCCCCTACGAGTGATGAGCTCCCTGTCTTTGCCCGACGGCTCCCTGTCAGCGGGGGCTGCCTGTTGCCCCCTGGCAGACATGATGGGGAGGCTCAAATAAGCCTATTATTCAGTCAGATGCCAATAAAGTCCTTGTTCAATGTGATTCATTTACCATATTGATCTACCCTCTTCAAGCCGAGAGCAAATTAAGTGAGCATTGGCTTGTGTTACCTTGAAAACGCAGTACAGGTAAAAAACTGTAATCTCCTGTGTACTTGGAAGATAAATTGGAAAGGCTATTCTTTTGGCGCTCAATTTAGTGTGCCCAACCATTGTCTGGGGGAAATCAGGGCCTCTGGTGGCATGGCAGGGTTTAGCAGAAGGTGTCTCTGGATTCGAAAATGATCTAATGAACAATTCTGCTTGTGTTTTGCATCTTCTAAAAATAGTGTCAACAAATTGGCACCATCTCCTGAATATCTGCTTACATCCTATTTTAGCAGCCAACTCACGGGTCACCCGGAGTCTATAATATACCCATCTCAAAATAAAAATGCCTCTCCCGCAAACGGTAAGAGGGATCAACATCAGACTGGTAGCAGGACAAGGGTTCTCATGGTGCCCAGTGGGGTGAAAGTCTCTCGGAAACTTGCAAACCCCTATTTATGGGCTGAAAAGCTTATAGAGTTTCTTTTTAAGGATGTTTTCTTTTAAGGATGTCTTTAAGGATGTTGATATTTTCTTTTAAGGATGTTGAAACATTGCTGTCTTCATGTTCAACTCTGGGGCCATTGGAGACTTGGGCCTCAGAGAAGTGGGAGAAGGAGGCGCCTTCAGGATTCACGTCCACCATCATCTCCTGAAGATGACGAGGGGATGAGGAGTGAAGGGCCTGCTTTCATATCCAGCTGGGATGTGACCGGCTTCCAGCCTGGAGCTCTGAGCATCCCGCAGGCTCTCAAGGCATCGCAACAGATGTGCAGGGAACACAGCGGATACCAAGCCCACAGGCCTGCCCCTTCCCAAACTCCTGCCTCACGGAGCTTTGTAGAGGAGATCATCACCACAGAATTGAAGATACAGTCAGGGTAAGCTCTATTCTGTTCATCTCTCTGTTACTGAGGAAGGTTGTGAAGCAACGGAAGTCCAGGGCCCTACTCTTTCCATTTTTGTGTTTCTTTCACACCTGCCGGAAAACCATTTTCCCAGTCCTGATACGCACAGCCCCAGGCTGCACCCTCGCGCGCGCACACACACACACTCTCTCACACACACTCACACACACCCCTCAGCTCTCTCTTGCTAATTACTTCTCTCTAAAAACCACAACTCAGGATGGAGAACAAAACAATCAAACATCTTCACTTAAGGTTATTCTCGTATTTTAGAGGATACTTATTAGCTTGAGTGATGGATAAGTCCAAATGTGCGAGGCAGCAGGGGGGACCCCAGTGGTCCGAGAAGTTGCAGGGCACGTGGGGGTGGGCATGGCGCTGTGGTCTTCAAGGATTTTGACTCATTTGGGATAACAAGTCGTGGACTTCACTGCAAAGCACAGGACGACAGAAAGATCTGAGGGCTGTTTAGAGACCTGGGCTTTTTCTACCACCGAGATAGGGCAAGCTATTTTAGAGGATGCAAGGCAGATACTTTGATGTGATTGACTTAGCATCAGAAAGGTTCATCTCACTGAATTTTTTTTTTTTTTTTTTTTTTTTTGCGGTACGCGGGCCTCTCACTGCTGTGGCCTCTCCCGTTGCAGAGCACAGGCTCCGGACGTGCAGGCTCAGCGGCCATGGCTCATGGGCCCAGCCGCTCCGCGGCATGGGGGATCTTCCCAGACCAGGGCACGAACCCGCGTCCCCTGCATCGGCAGGCAGACTCTCAACCACTGCGCCACCAGGGAAGCCCCATCTCACTGAATGTTAAGGCTCCTACTCTGCCCGCTCTTAGCCCTGGATTGGAGGGAAGGGCAATGTATCACTGGATTCAAAATTCATGGTTCTGTATAATATTTATTATTTGGTGTTTACTAAGATCTGCTTTTTAAAAGAAATTTTTAACATCTTTACTGGAGTGTAATTGTTTTACAGTGTTGTGTTAGTTTCTGCTTTATAACAAAGTGAATCAACTATACGTATACATATATCCCAATATCCCCTCCCTCTTGAGCCTCCCTTCCACCCTCCCTATCTCACCCCTTTAGGTCATCGCAAAGCACCGAGCTGATCTTCCTATGCTATGCGGCTGCTTCCCACTAGCTAACTATTTTACATTCGGTAGTGCATATATGTCACTACTCTAACTTCCTCCAGTTCATTCTCTATGTCTGTGTCTTTATTCCTGCCTTGCCACTAGGTTCATCAGTACCATTTTTATTTTTTAAGGTTCCATATATATGTCTTAGCATTCGGTATTTGATTTTCTCTTTCTGACTTACTTCACTCTGTATGACAGACTCTGTGTCCATCCACCTCACTACAACTAACTCAGTTTCGTTTCTTTTTATGGCTGAGTAATATTCCATTGCGTATATATGCCAGATCTTCTTTATCCATTCACCTTTGATGGACACTTAGGTTGCTTCCATGAATTGGCTATTGTAAATAGTGCTGTAATGAACATTGTGGTACATGTCTCTTTTTGAATTATGGTTTTCTCAGGGTATATGCCCAGTAGTGGGATTGCTGGGACATATGGTAGTTCTATTTTTAGTGTTTTAAGGAACCTCCATACTGTTCTCCATAGTGGTTGTATCAATTTGCATTCCCACCAACAATGCAGGAGGGTTCCTTTTTCACCACACCCTTTCCAGCATTTATTGTTTCTAGATTTTTTGATAATGGCCATTCTGACCAGTGTGAGGTGATACCTCATTGTAGTTTCGATTTGCATTTCTCTAATAATTAGTGATGTTGAGCAGCTTTTCATGTGCCTCTTGGCCATCTGTATGTCTTCTTTGGTGAAATGTCTATTTAGGTCTTCCACCCATTTTTTTCATTGAATTGTTTATCTTTTTGATATTGAGCTCCATGAGCTGTTTGTGTATTTTGGAGATTAATCCTTTGTCTGTTGTTTCATTTGCAAATATTTTCTCCCATTCTGAGGGTTGTCTTTTCATCTTGTTTATGGCCTCCTTTGTTGTGCAAAAGCTTTGAAGTTTAATTAGGTCCCATTTGTTTATTTTTGTTTTTATTTCCATTACTCTAGGCAGTGGGTCAAAAAAAGATCTTGCTGTGGTTTATGTCAAAGAGTGTTTTCCTCTAAGAGTTTTATACTGTGTGGTCTTACATTTAGGTCTTTAATCCATTTGGAGTTTATTTTTGTATATAGTGTTAAGTAGTGTTCTAATCTCATTCTTTTACATGTAGCTGTCCAGTTTTCCCAGCACCACTTATTGAAGAGACTGTCTTTTTTCCATTGTATGTTCTGGTATCCTTTGTCATAAATTAGGTGACCATATGTGCATGGGTTTATCTTTGGGCTTTCTATCCTGTACAATTGAACTATATTTCTATTGTTGTGCCAGTACCATACTGTCTTGATTACTGTAGTTTTGTAGTATAGTTTGAAGTCAGGAAGCCTGATTCCTCCAGCTCTGTTTTTCTTTCTCAAGATTGCTTTGGCTATTCGGGGTCTTTTGTGTTTCCATACGAATTGTAAAATTTTTTGCTCTAATTCTGTGAAGGATGACATTGGTAGTTTGATAGGGATGGCATTGAATCTGTAGATTGCTTTGGGTAGTATTGTCATTTTCACAATATTAATTCTTCCAATCCAAGAACATGCTGTATTTCTCCATCTGTTTATGTCATCTTTGATTTCTTTCATCAGTGTTTTATAGTTTTCTGAGTACAAGTCTTTCACCTCCTTAGGTAGGTTTATTCCTAGGTATTTTATTCTTTTTGTTGCAGTGGTAAATGGGATTGTTTCCTTAATTTCTCTTTCTGAGTTTTCATTGTTAGTGTATAGGAATGCCAGATATTTCTGTGCATTAGTTTTATATCCTGCAACCCTACCAAATTCATTGATTAGTTCTAGTAGTTTTCTGGTGGCACCTTTAGGATTTTCTGGTGGTATCATGTCATCTGCAAACAGTGACAGTTTTACTTCTTATTTTCCAATTTTTATTCCTTTTATTTCTTTTTCTTCTCTGATCGCCGTGGCTAGGACTTCCAATACTATGTTGAATAAGAGTGGTGAGAGTGGACATCCTTGTCTAGTTCCTGATCTTAGTGGAAATGTTTTCAGTTTTTCACCATTGAGTATGATGTTTGCTGTGGGTTTGTCATATATGTCCTTTATTATGTTGAGGTAGGTTCTCAGTAGGCCCATTTTCTAGAGAGTTTTTATCATAAATGGGTGTTGAATTTTGTTGAAAGCTTTTTCTGCATCTACTGGGACGATCATATGGTTTTTATTCCTTAATTTGTTAATGTGGTGTATCACATTGATTGATTTGCATATATTGATGACTCTTTGCATCCCTGGGATAAATCCCACTTGATCATGGTGTATGATCCTTTTAATATATTGTTGGATTCTGTTTGCTAGTATTTTGTTCAGGATTTTTGCATCCATGTTCATCAGTGATATTGGTCTGTAATTTTCTTTTTGTGTGATATCTTTCTCTGGTTTTGGTATTAGGGTGATGGTGGCTTCACAGAATGAATTTGGGAGTGTTCCTCCCTCTGAAATTTTTTGGAAGAGTTTGAGAAGGATCGGTGTTAGCTCTTTTCTAAATATCTTATAGAATTCGCCTGTGAAGCCATCTGGTCCTGTATCCTTAATACTTTAAATTTCTTGGTTGATTAGTCATTGAAAGAGGTATAAACGTCACTATTATTTTAGATTTATCACATTTCCATGTTATTCTCTCAATTCTGAATTTATTCAGTTTGTAGCTATATGGGGTTCATACCTGTTCCAAATTGTTATAGTTTCCTGGTGATTTGTCTCTTTTATAATTCATTAGTTATATGCACTGCATCAAGTAAACTTTGCCTGATACTAACGATGAAACATCAACTTTCCTTTGGTTGGTATTTGTCCCGTTTTCTTCTCTTACATTATTTTCAGCACTTGTTTCAGACCAAATGAAAATGTATCTTTTATCTGGGAGGTTTTATCCAATTACATTTCCTGTGTATGTTCATTCAAATAGGCCTGAATCTACACCCTTACTTTGTGCCTTATGTTTGCTAGACTTTTGCTTGTTTTCCTACCCTCATCCCTATACTATCTTCTTGAAAACAAATCAAGCTGTTTTATAGTTTCTATTTTTTCTCTACTGGTTGGGAAGTTATACATCTTATACCTATTCTTTGTGGTGGTTAAGCTTAATTTTTAATTAAAAAACACTTTGAAAAAAATCTCAAGCTTACAGAAAAGTTGCAATTACAGCACAAAGAATACTGATGCAACATCTTTATGTAATACTTAATGTGTATTTCCTACAAACAAGGGCATTCTCCTATATAACTGCAATACAACCATGAACATTTTGGAAGTAGTATACCTGCATTCTTACCAGTTGATGCAAAGACCTCATTCTCATTTTCCTTAGTGTTCCAATAATTTCCTTTAGAGTTAAAGGATCCGATTCAGAATCACAAATAACTTGAATTGTCACCTTCCCTTAATCTGGAAAGGTTCTTCGTTTTTTCCTTGATTTTACATCCTTGGCTCTTTCGAAGATTTTAGGCCAGTTATTCTGTAGAATGCCCCTCAATTCGGCTTCATCCAGTGTTTCCTAATTCCTGTTAAAGATGCACGGTCTGAATCTAATCATACCACAGAAATGCCATGTGTTTCGTTCTTTGTATCCTACCAGGTGCTGTGTAATTCCAATTAGTCCTTTTGTGAATTATGGTCACTTTAGGCACTTGATGAAGGTGGTATTTCTCCATGTAAATTTGCTCTCTTGCCCTTTATAATTAATAAGTTCTTTGTGGTGAGAGACTTTGAAACTATGAAAATATCTAATTTCCCATCAGATTTTCAATTTATTAACTGTATCAGTATAGACTCATGGCTTCCTTTTTCACTCAAGGTGTTACAATCTCTTATTAATGATATTTATTTTCATGTTCAAATTGTTCCAAATTTGATCAGTGGGAGCCTGTTTAACCTGACTGTTATCTTTTGATGTGTCCCGTCGTTTTTGTGTATTTCCTATCCCTTACTTCCTATTTCTGTTACAGTGATTCTGCCCCAAACCTGAAATCTGCCATATCTCCAAGCATCGCTGACTTCTTACAGTGGAGGATGATACTGAGACACCAAGATCTGGGCACTAGGTGTGCTCAGCTCTAATGGGAGGTCACAGCTCCCACCACCTAGGTGACACAGTGAGAAGTTAAATGTCTGTTAGTTTTTCTGTTTAAACTTTAATTTGAGATGAGCCACATCCACAGGGTGTTTATACCTGGTGAGAGCCAGCACTCCTCAGTTGACTATGGGGAGTCTCAAATGGCAGGCTCACAGGGAAGGCAGAGGCTTGTCTACCTGAAGAATCTTCATGGGCCCCATACAGTCAATCAATTTTCCTACCACCACTCTGAGCCCAGGCTTAGCTGGAATGGGTGTGGGGGGAGTCTCTTGGGGTCTATGTAGGTGCTTAGAAAGACCTGAGGGTAACTTTTGGAATAGTAAGTAGAAAGCTTTCCTTATATGGGGACTGTTTCTAATGAAATCCTACTTAGCGTGTCAGGAAGTGGAACACATCACTAGGGACCTTGGCAGTGGTGGGGGGGGATCATGGGCATCTGAACATTTAACAGTGGGAGATGATGTGATTGTTCTGGAAGATGCCTGGGTGCAGCTGTTAGTGACCCAGGATCATTCAACATTTGGAGACAGGAAAAGAGCTGGTATCAGGTCCAGTGGGGCCCAGATGGCTGGGGGAAACTAAAGACAGAGACTTCTTCCCCAGAAGGGAAACAATGGGAGGAGTAGACCTCAGAGAGGCAAGAGGTCTTGGGATTGTTAAGAAAAAAATGTCCATTGACAGATGAATGGATAAAGAAGGTGTGGTATTGATATATATATATACACAATGGAATACTACTCAGCCATAACAAAGAATGAAATAATGCCGTTTGCAGCAACTTGGATGGACCTAGAGATTGCCATACTAAGTGAAGTAAACCAGACAGAGAAAGACAAATATCCTATATCGCTTGTATGTGGAATCTAAAAAAAAAAAAAAAATGATACAAACGAACTTCTTATATACAAAATAGAAATTGACTCACAGACACAGAAAACAAAATTATGTTTACCGAAGGGGAAAGGGGGGATAAATTAGGAGTTTGGGATTAATATATACACACTACTATATATAAAATAGATAACCAACAAGAACATACTATGTAGCACAGGGAACTGTATTCAATGTCTTGTAATAATCTGTAAGGGAGAAGAATTCATATATATATATATGAATCACTTTGCTGTACACCTGAAACTAACACAACACTGTAAATCAACTACACTTCAATTAAAAAAAAAAGGAACTCAGATTAGGAGATGGGAATGCAACAAGACCCGGTTACCGGAAGTGGGACCCGGGTAAGCTGGTAAGATGGCACAGTGGTTAAGCCCGGGGCTGGCTTCCTGCCCTTGAGCTCGGGCTCCACCTCTGTCGACGGCTGTGATCTAGGGCACAGGGTGTAACCTCTCTGTGCCACCATGACCTCTTCTGCAAACTGGGATCGTGAACCAGCCACACCACAGGGTCGTTGGGAGGGTGACATAACACAAGTTAAGGTTTAACCAGTGACAGACACAGATGTTAGCTGCTATTTTCACTTAAGGACAAAGCAGAAGGCCAGTCGTTGGAACCAAGGCCCGAGGTCAGGCCAAGTTTTCAGCCAGTTTGACTCGTTCTCTCTGCTTGGACGTTGAACTTGATCCAAGGCTTTGAGGAGAGGCAGGTGGGCAGGGGGCGTAGTGGTGGCGGGGGAAGAAAACTCCCAACTTGGCAGCTGGAGCGTGGAGTGTGTCTCAGACTATCGCTTCTCCCAGGGGCAACGATGCTCCCTCGTTGGGAGCCACTCGGTGCAAGTCCGCCAGGCATGTGTCAGTTCCTCCATCATCTCGGTTTGGACTTAGGGAGTCACGATGTTTCCTATTTCTTTGGAGACAAGGGAAAGCCACGCAAACATGGCAAACAACGGCCAGTTCTGCAAGCATCTTTCCTCCCCTCCCCACCTCCCTTCCCCGAAAGCACTGGAGCAAAGGGAATGAGAGTAAATTGAAAAGCAAACTCACCTTACAAGCATAAAAAAGATCAAATGCAAGGGTGGGGGAGGAGAGGAGGTTGCGGACCAAACATCCGTGCCTTAGAGAGACTTAAGAGGAATCCTAGGATTGAGCCATAAAAATTTTATGGCATCCTAGGAATAGTTGAACGTTTCCTTGTTTGTGGTGCTGAGATTTTATGAGCCAAACAGGTGATCTTTAAAGCTTGTTTTCCTTTGCTCTTCAATAGGTTTAATTAAGCTTGGACTTGAGGCTTCAAGTTGTTTGAAAACTTGAGATTTACAACAAAACGACCCAAGTAACCTATATAACCAGTGAAACAGGTAAGGACTGGATTGGTTACGTGCGCGTCCCCAATGGGCTAATAATTTGACACCCTTTCAAAGCAAAAATTTTAATGTTTTTCCTTAGCCATCACTCAGAGCATGCTGAAACAAAAATCTTTAAGCTGTGTTTTAGTGCTTAATCGTTGCCTTGGAATAGGGATTGTTTATTATCCATTTTAAAAATAATTACCACCTACTCAAATATTTTTTGTTTATAACTTCTTGTAGGCTTTCTTTGCTACATATATACTTAAATCATTTCTGTATTTTAAATTATTTGCCCACAGCTTTTTTTTTAAACATCTTTATTGGAGTATAATTGCTTTACAATGGTGGGTTAGCTTCTGCTTTATAACAAAGTGAATCAGTTATACATATACTTATATCCCCATATCTCTTCCCTCTTGCGTCTCCCTCCCTCCCACCCTCCCTATCCCGCCCCTCTAGGTGGTCATAAAGCACCAAGCTGATCTCCCTGTGCTATGCAGCTGCTTCCCACTAGCTATCTATTTTACATTTGGTAGTGTATATATGTCCATGCCACTGTCTCACTTTGTCCCAGCTTACCCTTCCCCCTCTCCGTATCCTCAAGTCCGTTCTCTAGTAGGTCTGCATCTTTATTCCCATCTTGTCCCTAGGTTTGCCCGCAGCTTCATTGAGACATAATTGACACATAACATTGGGTAAGTTTAAGGTGTATAGCGGGTTGATTTGGTACATTTACATATTGCAGAATGATTACCAGCATAGCATTAGCTAACACTTCCATCCCGTCACATAATTACCATTTCTTTTTTGTGTTGAAAACAATTACCATCTACTCGCTTAGAAATTTTCAATATATGATACAATATTAACTATAATCACTGTGCTGTACATTAGATCCCCAGGACTCGTTACTCTTATAACTGGAAGTTTGTCTACATATATTTTTAATGTTTATTTAAAATCCATCTGAGACTGTATTACTAAGGATAGAGCTTTTAATATCTTAAGAGCTATAGGTTTGATAGATGTTACACATATAAATGTAATACCTTTGCTTTTCAGTTGGCCTGCACAATTCTCTAAGGATTGTTTGATTGAATTAAGCCCTAGCTAGTATCTATGGGCCAAATCCATGAGGATTTCTCTGGAGGGAAATTGTTATGTTACTTGTTAGTGAGAAATATAAAATGATAAAAATTCCTTTTTGGCCTTAGAGAGAAGATACTGCAACCACAGAAAAAGATACTTGGTTGCTTGGCCTTTCACTGGAGTCCGAGTGAAGGACTGCCCTCTAAGGCGGCATTGACATCTAAGGAAAGTTATCACATCCTGAACTTACCGCCAAAATGTGGGAGGTTTTATTTAGTTGATTCTGTTGTCAAGGTTCACCTCCTCTATTGTGTTTTGCAATTGATGTTTTTAACTTCATGCGGGCCTTTCTACTAATAGGCAAAATGCTTTCTGGCCTATGAAATGTCCACCTGTCCTGATTCCTCTTCCTTGTAACTACCTCTCCCAGCCGGGCATTCACAGCAGTCTGTGCTGAACTTGGACTGGACCTGGAAACCCAGACAACCCTTGCAAAGCCTTCCAAAGCCTTATCATCTTCCAGAACGCCTTACGCACAGAAAATAAATAAAAATGTAGTTCCGTATAACACCGCAAGAAAACTTTTGCAAAGGTAAGGCATTATTCTCATTGTAAAATAATTCACGTTAGTGGGGGGAAAAAAAACTCACCTTGACACTTCTTGAGATAGCAAGTTAGCTGACTGCTGAGTTTAGACTGATTTAAGAGCATCACCTTAGCACGTGACTCTCATGAATACTTCCCCCTAATTAGATGAGAACTTAGCTCTCTCACTTGGCTCTTCGCCGAGTCACCCCTTTGTGTGGAGTTGCCAGCTCCCAGCAGGGCCTGTAAGGACGGCAGAGCTCGATTCTCTGACTCTATCCATCTCCCACCGCCTTCAGCCTCCTTCGCTTGATGGCAGCCCATTGTTTCCTTCTCTGTCTTGAACACACCAGGTTTGTTTCCTCCTCAGACCCTTTGCACTTGCCATGGCCCTGCCCGAACTTGCCCTTCCTCCAGGCTTTGGTTAGTGACTCTCTGTCATCGTTCTGACTAGGATTGAATGCCACCCCTCCACGGGGCTTCCCTTGAGCCCCTGTTAACGTCTGCTCCCCACCCACTCAGACTCCATCTGACTCCCTCTCAAGTCCAAGCCATAACCCCAATGTCCTTTTTTTCACAGAACTCTCCCCTAAGTTCCTTATGTCTTATTTACACCCAGGCCATCCCTGGGGACACTTGCTTTCCTCATGTAATCATTAATTACTCTCAAGAATGTTCTGGTTGAAATACGAAACTGTAACGTTATCATATTTATCACTTCTAGAAATGAGGTTTATTTACTTTGCCGTATCCTTCGTAGATGTCTCTTCACTAGAAAGTAGGCACAGGGACTTTGTGCCAGGTAATTATTTAGGCACTGGGGAGGCAACAGTGAATACAGATTATGAGAACTCATTCAATATTTTTTGATGGAACCAGTTAAAGAAAACGAATGACAGGCTTTCATATAATGTGTTTGTGCACAGACACATAAACAAACTGAAGATTTTGTGTTCTTTTGTTTTTCTTTTAATTTTTATTTTATATTGGAGTCCAGTTGATTAACAATGTTGTGTTAGTTTCAACTGTACAGCAAAGTGATTCAGTTATACATGTATTTATTTTTTCAAATTCTTTTCCCATTTAGGTTATTACAAAGTATTTAGCAGAGCTCCCTGTGCTATACAGTAGGTCCTTGTTGGTTGTCCTTTTTAAACATAGCCGTGTGTACATGTCAATCCCAAACTCCCAATCTATCCTTCCCCCTCCCCCTCCCCCCACATCACCCCGGGTAACCATAAGTTTTTTTTCTATGTCAGTGAGTCTGGCTTTTTTTTTTTTTGGTAAATAAGTTCATTTTTATCTTATTTAAGTGAAGGTTTTTGGATCAAGTTTTATTTCATAGTTATGTGGACGTATGCTCCAAAAAATATATAAATAGGGAAAAACTCACACTCATTCAGAGGAGTGAGATTGCAAAGAAATTGTCAAAAAGTTCAAATTGAAAAAGAAACTTGTTTAGAAAGGTCGCTTCTGCTACATTGCATGAAACTTCCTGAAGAGGTCAGCGACTTCTCCATTAGTACCTGGGGTCTTCTCTGTATCTTTGTCAATTTTTTTCTTTTGAACACTGGCCTTGGAATATGACAAGTTATTCTAGATTATTTAGGCAATATTCTTGCAAGTAGCCATAATGTGGGGGACGAGTTTATCGATCTGTAGACAGAGCAACGATACTGGGGTCGCTGCTCGCCTTTGCACACGGAGCCGTGGATGAATTAAGAACAGATTTTCCTTTGAGAGGATAAACTGGGAGAAAAAAGCTGAGGTTGTGTTTCAACCTCCACTTGTCTCCTAGGCTTGAAAGCTTCGGGCAGTACACGGTCTGCATCACTTCATGTGGAAACATGGGCGGTAGCAAAGACCATTTATTTTCAGTGTGTGTAAAACCGATGAAATCAAAATTTACCCAGAGAACTATTTAAATTGGCGTTTATTTCTTTCTGACCCCAAGGGTGATTTATTCACATCCACACCCCAGACACGAACACAGCTTCAAATGGACACTTCAGCAGCTGGGATGTAGTGAGTTGCAGGAGATCCCACCTTAAAAATCAGAATAGTTCAGAGAAGTGACAAAATCATATGCATGTTTAAAGGCAACCCAGAACTGGGAACACAGGGAAACCCAACTGCACTGAATTCCAGTAAGAGACAAGCCCTTCCTAGCAGAGACCATGGGTACTTTCATCCCTGGCACATTTTTCTTTACTCAGTATGTGTGGGATGTGGCACCCACCTGTCTTTTAAACTTCTGCCAACTACAGACTGGCACTTGCCATCTGCCTCTACAAGGAGTAAATCATGAACTGTTGCAGCCGCTGACCTTCCACACCCCCTGAAAGGAGCTCAGCGTGGAGAGCAGGAAGGAGGCCCTCTGTGCTCTGGGAAAACCCGGCAGAACAGGCCTTCAGATAGATATTCTCAGGAGATATTATGAGCCCAATTCTTGCATCTCCTTGTATCTAGAAAAGCACTAAAATCATTAATGGAGACATCTGCTCCTCGTGACGAGCAGCCACCTTCTGCCAAAATGCATGGGTTTTTTTTTTTTTTCATTTATTTTTTGCGGTACGCAGGCCTCTCACTGCCGTGGCCTCTCCCGGTGCGGAGCACAGGCTCCGGACGTGCAGGCTCAGCGGCCATGGCTCACGGGCCAGCCGCTCTGCGGCACGTGGGATCTTCCCGGACCGGGGCACGAACCCGTGTCCCCTGCATCAGCAGGCGGACTCTCAACCACTATGCCACCAGGGAGGCCCCCAAAATGCATGTTTGACTGCACGTTCCCCCTTCACTAAAATCACATCTATACTGACCTCCCCCTGCCTCTTCGGAGCAGTTTCTCAGAGCTCTCTGAGAGGCTGTCTCCCAGGCTATAGTCCTCATTTTGCCCCAAATAAAACTTAACTCAGAACTCTCATGTTGTGCATCTTTTTAGGCAACTCTTCATCAGCCACGTGTGGGCTGAGAGGAAGGTTTGGAATTCTGAGGATTCCCAGACTTGGAGTGAATCCACACCCACGTACCACATCCTTCTCATGGGACCTTCACTGGGTGCATGGTAGCAGCACCAAGGCAGGTAAGCCCTCCCGATGTGTGTGGTACCTGGACCAAGTACATGGCCGGGCCCTTCTGGAGGCTTGGGGATGTGCAGGACGGCCAAGGGAGATTCCTAGGGCACAGGCGGCTCCTCCTGGATGCGAGGCAGCAGCAAATCAAAGCCTGCTCCTCTTGTAGAAGAATGGAGAGAGATCTCCAAAGGCTCAGGAAGTGGCTGCTCACGTGTAAAGTCTGGAGCCTCAGAATCTCTCCAATTCTCAGGTTTTAAGCCTTGCTGAAGGGACAGTCTTGACCCTGCCCTCAAAGTATGTGAAGCCAGGGGTAGAATGAGTCTAATTAAAGCTGCAACAAAGCCCAGACTCAGCCCAATTACAGAGACGTTTGACTCAGCGTCCTACCATTTTCAGGGGCAAATACTACCTGTTTAATTCTCAATTATTCTTTTACGTGGGATGTACAGAGTGAAATTTTAAAAATTAAAGAGACAAGCAAAGAGGCAAGAAAATGTGATCCATTATCAAGAGAAAATTTTTGTCAGTAGACTCAGAGCCAAAGATATAGACTATGGAATTAGCAGACAGAGGCTATAAAATAACCATGATAAATGTGTTAAAGTATATATCAGAGGACGCGGATGACACACATAAGCAGACGAGGAGTTTCATCAGAAATGAAAGCCGTAAGAAATGATGGAAATTCTAAGATTGAAACAAGACATAGCAGTTTTATATTTGAATGCACTCAATAACAGAGCTTCGAAATATGTAAAACAAATACTGACAGAAGTAATGAAGAAACATATAAATCCATAACCAGAGTTGGAGGTTTTAAACCCCTCTCAGTCATGAATAAGACAACTAGGCAAAAGTTATAAAGATGTGGGAGACTCGAACATAACCTTCAACCAACTTAACCTAACGTGGATAGAACAGTGGGTACAAAACCAGATACGTTCATGAACGTTACCATATGCTGGGCCACAAGATAAGTCTCAATTAGTTTTAAAGGCGTGACATCATAGAAAGTATATTCTCTGACCACACATTATTGTTGATTAGAAATCAACAATAATACAATCTCTAGAAAAACGCAAATGGAAAATTATGCAACAACAAGAAAATCCTATGCGTCAAAGAAGATATCACAAAGGAAATTAAGAATATTTGGAGTTGAATGATAATGAAAACCCAACATAACAAAATTTATATTCAGCTAAAGCAGTGCTGAGAATGAAATTCATAGTTTCCCAGTAAATTTATAAGGAAAGGAAATTTATAGTATTGATTTTTTTACTTTCCCCCATTTCCAACAAACTTCCATGTTTAGAAGCTAGGAAAAGAAGAGCATCTTAAGCTCAAAATTAATAGAAGAGAGAAAATAATTAAAGGCAGAAATCAATGAAATAAACACTAGACAAAAATCAACAAAATCAAAGTGGATATGTTAAAAAAGATTTACAAAATTAATAAACTCTATGTTAGATTAATCAATAAAAAAGAAATAAAGCACAAGTAATCAATATGAGAAAATTTAAAAGGACCTATCAATAAATATAGACAAAATAAAGACAAAAATGAAATATTATGAACATATGCCAATAAAGTCAACAATATAAGTGAAATAAACAAATTTGATTAAAATGAACGCAAGAAGAAATAAGAAACCTGAAAACATATATATACTTATATATTTACATTTTTAGAAGAGACACATCAACAAAGACAGTTTGAGCCCAGGATGACTTCACTAGTGAATTCCTTCAAACATTTAAAGAGAAATATTACCATTTTTGCACATTTCTTTTCCAGGAAGGGGAGGAGGAGAAAACACTTCTCAGTATTTTTATGAGGCCAGTATAACCATGAGGCCAGAAATCTGACAGGGATATTACTAGAAAAGAAAAATACAGATTAAAATCCTTCATAAGCATGGTGATATAAACAGGACAGTAGTTTTAAAAAAAAATTTTATTTTATTGAAGTATAGTTGATTTACAATGTTGTGTTAATTTCTGCTGTACAGCAAAGTGATTCAGTTATACCTATATATACATTCTTTTTCATATTTTTTCCATTGTGAATATTGAATATTGAATATTGTTCCCTCTGCTATACAGTAGGGCCTTGTTGTTTATCCATTCTATATGTAATAGTTTGCATCTGCTAATCCCAAACTCCCAATCCTTGCCTCCCCCCTCCCCCCTTGGCAGACACAAGCCTGTTCTCTATGTCTGTCAGTCTGTTTCTGTTTCGTAGCTAGGTTCATTTGTGTCGTATTTTAGATTCTACATATAAGGACAGTAGTGGGGTTTTTTTTCGTTTTTTTTTTGGTAGAATTAATTTATGGGAAGACGACCTTTTCCGGGTAGGGTAAGGTTCTACATTTTGATGTTTTGAAGTTTGTAGTTATATGATGTATAAAATTTGCCACACTCAATGAATGATCCACTAACGATGTGTGCAGTTTATTATATGAAAATTATACCTCAGTAAAGACAAAAATGAAGCAATTATGAAGATGATGTAATTTCCATCAGTGAGAAATGCTGCTAGAGTCTTCATAAGCACATGCCACTTAATAATATTCGTGTGCTGCTTTCTTAAGCACTTTAACCTTTATGCTCTAATTCTCATAGTAAACACATTACGTTTGTGATGTTATTCCCAAACTCTGGAGGGTAATTGGCTTACTCTAGGCTTTAGAGAGTGTGCAGCAAAATCAGGACAGAGACTCAAGATTCTTGCCTCTTAGTTTATGCTTTTCCAAGAAACAATAGTTACTCTGCTGCTGCACTCTCCTTACCTCAGAAAACTCCTGCTGTAGCAACTTTTGCTGTTGAGGTCTCTGAAATACCTGTTTTGTTCTGAACCTCTGAACTTTCTTGGCTCAAAATTGGAATGACAGCCTTTGACACATGATTATAATTTTATAGCAATGTATGCACTTAGAATTCTGACTTATGACTCACCCAGTTATCTGAATTAAAATATTTTCCTTGCCTTCACTGTTGGGCTTTGAAGTACCACCGTAAACCCACCTACCCCTTTCCCCAGAGTCTGGGGTAGGTGCTTCAATATGCCCCCATAGCACCATAAGATCCCCCCACCATAATGCCCATTACAAGATACTGTACCTTCCAGTTTATGCGTCTGCTTCTACACAGCGGTGATCTCAGGGATTTTCTGCTTGGAGGAGAAATTATTTCTTATTCATCTTTTATCCCAGGGCTTATTACAGTGGCATTCAAGGGTCAGTCAATAAATACTTACTGAATGACTAAACAAACAGGGTAAATGCCTGAGGAGAATCGGTCACCCCCCCGGTCTGCCATATCTCACCACAACTACATTGATACATTGATTAATAATTTGTCTGGAAATAAGCTCCTTTATGATGGTGTGGATGATAGTAAAAGTAATATTTCCATTGTGTTATTAAGTGCAGCGTTGTTCAACCTGTTTGCTTATCTGCCAACATACGGTCCAGGGCAGAGATCATGTCAGCTTTGCTGTAGTGTCTATAGCAGTTTGGAGAGTTATCGGCACATGGTAGTGGCTTACTTTCCTGGGTGAATAAATACCTTTTTATGAAGATTATATAATACATGTACAGTTCTGTAAACATTATATATATTATTCATGCTTTATATGTACATATATAAATTTAAACTTATCCATCTTTTTCTTCATTGATTGTGATTTTTGTCACTTGTTTAATAATTGCTTCTTTTCCCCAAGGCATTGTCTTTATTTTTTGGTAAGATTTGGGGGTCTGATTTTTATATATTGATAGTTAATTCATTAAATTTTTTTTCTTTTTGTGGTGTGAGGTAGGTATCAGATTTTTTTATGTATGCGTAAACAATTTTCCCAGCTCTATTTATTGAATAGCTTAGCTTTTCTTCTCTGATTTGCAATGTCATTTATCAATGTTCTATAATTAATAGGCATTCTTTTCTATTATATATGTTGGCATTGATATCATAGTGTTTTCATTACTACAGTTTTGTAAGTCTTGATAACTAGTAAGAAAGTTTTTGTTCCTTTTCTTCTCTCTTCTTTTTTTTTTTTTTTTTTGCGGTACGCGGGCCTCTCACTGTCGTGGCCTCTCCCGTCGCGGAGCACAGGCTCCGGACGCGCAGGCTCAGCGGCCATGGCTCACGGGCCCAGCCGCTCCGCACCATGTGGGATCTTCCCGGACCGGGGCACGAACCCGTGTCCCTTGCATCGGCAGGCGGACTCTCAACCACTGCGCCACCAGGGAAGCCCTTCTTCTCTCTTCTTGATCTTTCTTCTTAGAGGTTTTTAAAAAGCAAATTTTTCTTTTGTTGAAGCTCATTTATTTTTTTCTTTTCCCATTTTATTGATTTCCTACCTATTATGTCTGCCCTATTTTTAAAAGCTTATTCTAAGCTTTTAAGTTCTTCAGACATTTAATCTTTTTCTTTTATTAATGCACATATTTCCCTTTTTCTTGGTCCTACTATAGATGACTATGATGTAGTACACTTTTTGTTATTCAATTCTAAATATGTCTTAGTTTCCTATGTGAATAACTTATTATCTTGAGTAATTTGAGTCCATTTAAGTCTGTGCTTGTTGCTGATTTCTAATTACTTGAAGTTTTGCTCTGAGAATCTGATCTGAATGTGTATCACTTACACTCTAGCAGGAAACAGATGCTGTACTCAAGTGGGTAATTGAGGAAGGTTTAATGAAGAGGCTGCTCATAAATATGTAAGCAGGGTTACAGGAAACCAAGAGCGATGGTTGAAATGCTCTAAACTAGCAAGATGGAGGAGCCATTACTACCCTCAGGACTGAAGGTTAAGGAGAGGAAAAGTTGACCAGAACCCAGAGATAGTAGCTGTTGTTGTAGCAGAGTGTTTCCTGACAGGGGCTGTGGTCTTGGTAGAGAAACTTACTTCAACATATAACGACCCATCACAGAGGAAACCAGGAAATAAGTACCCTGATTTCACTCTGTTCTCCAGTCCAGTCTCCGCCAATGCTTCCCATTTATGCGAAACAACCAGAAGCCAGATGGCAAAGGGAGCCATGGACGAAGTCCAGCCAGTTCAGCCTCCCAGGGTAGAGGCAGATGGAAGAAAGGCAGAGGGTGGGTTTGGATGGTATAATGAAAGTGTCCAGTACTGTTCATTCTTTCTGTCCCCTCCAAACCTTCACTCACCTGTTTGGCATTCGAGTAAAATAAATGTGTTCTCAATGCCGGGGACAACAAAGTTCCATGAACTGCCGTATAGATTGAGTGATGTCAATACCTGAAAGATAAAATGTTAGCCACCCCGAGCTGCCCACCATCAACTGAATGTTTTTTCCTGATATTCCAAATCATAAGATTGGATATTAACAGTCATATTAAATCATCCCTTGGAAATGGCATATATCAGAACAGGCACAATTGCACAGGTAGCTGGGTCATTTACTCACCTGGAGTCTTTCTGTGTCTACTGCTTTGCCCTCAACACACACCTGTGGCCTCATGAGGGTTCCCTATGAAAAGTTAACAAAAAGGGTAGGTCTGGTTTGCAGATGGATTTGCATAGTACACACCTAGATAACCAAATATATTACAGCTCCACACAGGGATGGTGGATTGGGAAAAAACAGTGATGATGGGCAATCACTTGGGGGTCAAGCACTAAGTTTCCACCAGGGTCAATAGGAGGCCAGGAACTGCTTACCAACTTGAGGCTAGTTACTGGCAGAAGACGGCATGGCTTCATTCCCAAACCCAAGGGACCATGCAGTGATTCTTTCTTTGGGATTTTTCAGTTGCTGTAAAATATATTATCTGCCTCACGCACAGGAAATACCATTGCATATCTTGACACACAGCATAAGTGACAAGACAGCTTGAACTACTTCCTGGACATGATACGGAAGTCTAAGCAGTAGACCTTCTTGTTCTTTACTCTTTCCACCTGCTCCCCCCCGCAAACTGGCCATCTTAAGCGTTACTCAATAATCATGTTACAAGATCATGCTTACATATCCTATATGTAGCCTTCAAAAAGCAAAAAGTCCATCAACAGTTAGGTCTATTTCTTTGAAATGGGTGTTACAAAGTGTCACAGTATATTTTCACTTTAGAGTGGATATTCTGACATGTCTCAGCTACTGCAACTCTAGAAACTTTATCAGTATGGTAGGTCTCCAAACTCTTGTGGGGCTTATCTCTTACCCTCTCACCCTTGCTACTTCCTCTCATCAGCTCCAGTTAGCAAAACGTCATCAACGTGATGTGGTGCCTGATGTGATATTAAGACATTCAATTCCCTCTGGTCTGTCTTAGGACCAAAGCAGGAGAGATGGATGATGTAGGGGCGCTGATGCTCCTACCACAAGAGAATGAGTTGTTTCTGATCATCTTTACTGATAGAAATGGGGAACATTATCCAGGTCAACAGCCGTATACTCGGTGGTAGAGCAATGTTGATTTGCTTCAGTAAAGAATACCACACGTGGAACTACAGTTATGATGGACATGAGCACCTGATTCAGTGTGCTATAACCCACAGTCATCCTCCAAGACTCATCTGGGTTTTGCACCATTCAAACGGGTAAGGCACAGGGACTTCCCTGGTGGTCCAGTGGTTAAGACTCCGCCTTCCAATGCATGGGGTGCAGGTTCAATCCCTGGTTGGGGAGCTAAGATCCCACAAGCCTTAGAGCCAAAAAAACAAAACATAAAACAGAAGCTATATTGTAACAAATAAAGACTCCTGTTTTCCTCCTGTTTGTACAATGTTTTTTTAAAAATCCCTGTGACAGAGTTCTCCTGGTGTGAACCGCATGGGTTATGGCTTCAATAGCAACCATAAGTGACAGTTCCTAGGTCCTCATTGGAAGCTTCCTCCTACATGGGGGAAAGAGGGCTGGAAGGCATGAACCCTGAGTGGGAGGAGGGCGCTGCAGCATCACCGGTGCAGGTGAGGGTCATGGCAAGGATGCTGGCTGCCAGAGCCACACTCGGTCTCAGTTATGCTCACCTTTATTTGCTGAAGAACAGGGGGAAGCCTGTCCCCTTTCCCTCTCCGAATCGATCCAGAGAAGGTGGCTCTGGCCGGCTTGCCACTCTGTAGAGCCTCGAGTTGGCCACCAGGAGGCAGTGCTGTCTCTTCTCAGACGCAAGGGTAGAAGGTCCCGCCTGGATCGGAGGTGAGTTCTCGGGTGACCTGTGGGAGGTGTGAAGACAGAGAAAGGTGGAGACAAAGAGGGCTTTTCTCGCCCACTCCGATGTAGGGAGGAGCCTGTCTCCACCCTGGGGTGTTGTGATCGCAAGCATTTAAGCGGAGCCTAGAGGATCCCCACCCCCGCCCCCAGTCAGGCAGGTGGGGATTGAAGTTTCCCTCCAGAAGGTATTTGCCTGGTTCACCAGAAAACACCTGACGTCCAATGCTTTAGTCCAATGAGTTCTCTGAAGGCAGGGCTACTGCCTCTTCATCTCTCTCCTAGCATCCGGCGTGTGTTTAACTGACAAGTCGTCCAGTGAGTGATTTAATACATAAAGCATCTGACCTTTGCTAAGACGCTGCTTTCGGAGGCAAGGAGCCAGGTTTTCATCTCGGCCCTCCTACCGGTCTGTCGCTGAGAGATAACTTCTGTCTGGGCCTCCACTCCCCGTGTGTAACTCACTCGCAGATGTAAAGTCGAACTCTACTGAATGCAGGGACACAGTTACGGATGCATGTTTTTGAAAGGAAAAAATGGTTGTGAATGTGAAATCCACGTTTCTTCCTTGACTGTTTTAGATCTTATAGGGTAGAGTAAATTTCTTATGTGAAGGCACCTAGAGATTTGCCTCATGGCCCTCAAGGCATGATTACCAGGGGGTAAGGGGGAGACGAATAAATTGGGAGATTGAGATTGACATATACACACTACTATACATAAAATAGATAACTAATAACCTCCTGCACAGCACAGGGAACTCTGCTCAGTACTCTGTAACGGCCTATATGGGAAAAGGATCTTAAAAAAAGAGTGGAGGGGGCTTCCCTGGTGGCGCAGTGGTTGAGAGTCCGCCTGCCGATGCAGGGAATGCGGGTTCGTGCCCCGGTCCGCGAAGATCCCACATGCCGCAGAGCTGCTAGGCTCATGAGCCATGGCCGCTGAGCCTGCGCGTCCGGAGCCTGTGCTCCTCCACGGGAGAGGCCACAGCAGTGAGAGGCCCGCGTACCGCAAAAAAAAAAAAAAAAAAAGAGTGGAGGTATGTATATGTATAACAGATTCACTTTGCTGTACACCTGAAATTAACACAACATTGTAAGTCAACAATACTCCAATAAAAAGTTTAAAAAATAGTAACACATTGTCTGAGCTGAGAGTGCAAAATGGGTGGAGAGCCGTCCACTCGATTTACGACCTGGACAGCGGCCTGCATCGTGGATGGGGAGGCTTGTCTGTGGACGCTTCAGGGATGTGGCCTGGTTAGTTTCACGTTGACCCTCCCCAGTTATCCCTGACCACCCCCGTCAGGGGGCGCTAGATAGTAAGGTTCTCGGGAGTAAGAACTATGCTTCATTCATCCAGTAACTCGTTCAATATCCCCTACAAACTCCTCGTCCACTTGCCTTCTTGGGTCCTCCAGACCTGTGTCCTCTGGGTGTGTGTGTCCCCATGGTAACCTCTCCATACTCAATAAAAGCCATAGGTTTGCACCACCAAACACGAACCTTAGGTCTGCGTGTTTCTTTCACCTCAGTTACACCTTTTCTTATATTACCCGGGATCAGCCACTATCCAACACGTCATCCCATCCAAGCCAGAAACACCCCCAAACACAACTGGTACTTTTCCACTCCACTCCACTTCCTAGTCTATCGTCCATCCCACCACCTTCATGATGTCATATCTTCACGTTTTGGCGTCGCCAATGTTGGAATAGCTTGTAACTTACCGTCTTACCACCCTCTTTTCTTCCTGTCCAGCTCCTTCAACATTCTGTGAGCTCACCCACGGCAGGGAGGATGTTGCATTCCCAGTATCTTCCGCTGGTGTTGGCCATATGGAGCCCTGAAATCAAAGTTTGTGAAATGATCAGATAAAAGAATGGCCCATACGTTCTGAGTCGTGAAAACTCTCTCAGTCAGGGATGTTTACTGCTTTGCTGGGAGATGCATGCAAATTCCTACTTTAGGGAAAGTAGGGATTTTCATAGGCATATTGAATCATCTCTTAAATGATAGAAAATTTTAATACATATAACCTCAGCCTGGTGATGCAGGCAGAGCAAATATTGCTTTTCTGAGGTTTAAGTTGTAAGAGGAAGAAATGGAGCCTCAGAGGTGTAAAGTGATTGCCAAGGTCATGACTGTGTCTGGCAAGAAATAGGATCTCCCCGTCCTGACCGCAGTGCCCTTTCTTCATTGCATCTCCTCCCTCATGACCTGTGGAGTGAATGATGGATGGGTATCTGCTCATGGATGCTTACAATGGGTATCTCTGACCTCTCCAATAATTGATGGGGCAGAATCCTTTGAGTTCAGGCTTAGGGAAGACAGACACTAACTCGGGTAAAATTAAGTGGTTTAAAATGCATTTTGAGATACTTCACCTGAAGACGTGCTGCTGACAGGTAAATAAAATGAATATGGAGAAACCTCTTCCCTGCCAATGAATAACACATAGCTTTCAGGCAAGTAGGTAAATTCAAGGAGATTGTCTTTCTTAGCTACGCTTAAAAAGTTCAGTACATGAATAATTGAACAACTTCCTGGCACACTCAATATTTATTTGTAAGCCTGCTCCAGGCAGAAAAAGCATTTTGAAAACAAGTTTTGCATTAGCTAGGAGTTTATTTGTTTGCTGGAAGATTCCCTAATTACATTTGCAAAGGAACATATTGTTGTGTCTTGTTATTTCTCATTGACCTATTGATGTGAAATATATTAGACAAATTAGAAGGAAGATGGGTAAAAATCTGAACCATGTGTGCACGTGTGCGCTGTAGGAGACCAGAATAGAACTTGCAGAAATTTGCACATGGATTACGATCCTTATTACAGTCTTACAATCCTATGGACTAAGAATTGCTTTTGCACTTGACTTTTCTCTCCAGTTAAGCCAGTGGCCAGTCCAGGAGGGCCACAGAGCTTCACCAGAAGTGGATGCTCAAAAACTGTTGAATAAATGTTTTGTTGGTTTGCAAACTGGTCCCCATATATGGAGGGCAAAGAGGGACCGAAGAAAGAGGCAGACACTCCAGATTGGCAGGTGGCAGTTTTGATAAGCAAGGGGACTGACTTATGGGGTTTGTCTTGGGGGCCACAGATGATTAGATGTCCACACTGGGTGGTCTCAGCACCAGCTCGCTCTCTCAAGGCTGCGTCCTCGGAACGGCTCTCGCTGTGGAATGGTGGGCGGATGCACCTTCAAATGTGGGGATGGGATGAGGAACCTCCACTGCCTGGGTCCGCCTTGAGGGTCAGCTGGTGGTCACGTCGTCTCGATGACCTCCTCCAACATGTTTCCTATTCCAAAACGTTCGCAATGTCTTCTTTATGAAATCTAAGTTATGAGCGTGTAAACAAGCAGAGGCTCTTCCATCGTCCTCCGTCTAGTGGGGGTAGGAAGTCCCATCCAGAGAAAGCCTGACTGCCTGATTCTGTTGGTTCTTCACATGCTTATTGGGTCTAATGAGGAGGAGAGGCTGCTGGTGACATGGACCAAAAGATGGGATTCTGGGGAGTCAGCACCAGGGGTCTGGGAAATGGACCCTGCATCTAATCTACCGTAACACATATTATAGACAGTGTGTCTCCTTTAGACCTGGAGGGCTCACTAATCATGCATTCACTTCTTCATTCACTGAATGAATAGATTTTGAACACCTTTTATGTGCTGGACGCTGTTCTTGGTGTGGGTAACAGTGGGGAGTGAAAGAGACAGACATCTCTGCCCTAGGGGGGCTCACATTCTATGGGGGAAGACAGCCAATAAAACAACACAGGGATGTGTGATCCAGTGTGATTGGAGACTCCGTAGAGATTCACCGTGAGATGCAGCTCACATCCCGTTGACTGAATATTTGTGATCCAGGATCAGGCAGTCACCTCTCTGGGGCAGCAAGTGAACTTCAGCCTCCCAGGACTGTACTCCTCCCGGGGAAACCATCAAGATTGCTGCACTTATTTAAACATTGGTTAGAAAAAATTAACCTGCTTCATTTAAATAGCTTTAACCAAATGCAAATTAGTTTTTCCTCATGGGAGGGTGTTAAAATACAGGTCTGCTGCTAATTCAGGGCTTTGCCAAGTAAACTACAGCACCGAGGTTCAGATCTGAGAAAACTGTTGGTTATACTCTATTGGCCATCACAGACTCCTCTCTTCCTCTCATTTCCTCTCTCTCTCTCTCTCTCTCTCTCTCTCTCTCTCTCTCTCCCACACACACACACACACACCTTGCATATTTGATGTTGTCTTGTAGGTTTCCATTGAAAAAAATCAATGCTTGGCTCTGATTATGTTCTTGGTACAGGTGTGAACTCCGATTAGGTAACTGCTGTTGCATTTGACTTTTTCCTTTGATCTGAATTGAGGTGGTAAGTGTGGCAGACAGAATAGGAGGGAGATTAGCAGCCTTTCCTACCAATATACTTTCTAAAAAAATAAAATATTCATGTTGGTTATTCTTCATCCCTGCCTTTCCCCCCCTCCCCCTCCCCCTCCTTCTTCTTCTTCCTTCTTGGTCTTCTCCGCATGCCTCTTGGGGATGTATTTGTTTGCCCTGAGACTGTACCCCCTGCTTCAGCCAGAGGCGTAGCTGGGGAGAGGGCGGGGATTAACTCTCCGGGATTTACGCCCACTTTTGGCTTCTGTCCCAGTAGCAGCTCATCTCTCGGAGAAGCTCAGCTCTGCTGGGCGCCTGCACCCCACCCCCTCCGCCTCCCACACAGCTCAAGCCCTCACCAGGGTGCTATGTTTCTTCTTGACCCTTGGGGTCTGGGAATGCCAACCCCTCCCCATGACTGCTACTTCTGGGTGCGCCGACCTTCTCAGATGATGTGCTTCACCCCGCAGCCCCTCATAAGTCCCTATAGGCAGCTCTCTCCAGAATCCCATAGGAACATGCCTTCTCTTTCCAGGTGGGCCCCTGACTGATATTGTAATCTATTTAAGTAACTAAGCATCGGATATAAAACATTACTGTTTTGAGAAAAAAGATAATTATTTAAAGGGAAAACAAAGCACAAAGGTGTGATTTAGGTATCCCGGTTTTCCTTAATCACCTTAAATTATTGCCTAAACTAACCCTGTTTTTCTTCCAGCTTCAAGGGATCACTTCTTTAAAATCACTCTCAATTTTTGATTTTAGATCAGAAACCCTCCCCAAAGGATACATTTGACTCTGGAGCATCTCAGCTTCAGAGACATTTGAAATCTTAAATTCTTTTCCATTCTGGCTGAGAGCTAAAACTGAGTTCTCTGTTTCCCGTAACTGCAGGAAAGGAGTCCGCTGAGGACACAGACATGCAAGCAAACACCTGTAGTAGAAATTGGAAGTGTGACCTTCACCTGGGGAAACTTGGAGAAGAAGCTGGCAACTGTGGTGGGACCTACAGGATGAGTGGGCACGAGTGTGTCATCTGCTGGTAATGACCTTCACCCTCTGTATCTGGAGAAGAGGCACCAGCAGCTGGAGTATCTGGGGAGCCTTGAGTCATGGAGAAACGGAGCAGGGTGGGAGTGGGGGAGGGCAGCCCCAGGAAAGCTGAGGTCACCCCTGTTGCCTGAACGCCCAGCCTGCTATTAAGACAATTTCCAGAGGCTTTATTTCCCTCGTCAAGAATGCCCTTCACTCCCTCTTCCACTTACTGAATGGAGCAGAAAATGTCCTCTGCCTACCTGTGGAAAGCCTGTTATTAGGAAAGAGTGATTATTTTCACTTCTCTGATTGAAAAAAGCATGAAGGTACAAATTAGCTATCTACTATTCTAAATCTACAATTCAGAAAAGAGAAGCCTTGACATTTTCTTGTTTTAATTCTTTGCTTCTTAAAATGTAGAGTTTGGGTTACTCCTACGATTTAAATGATTATCCCACTAACTCTGACATGTTGCCTCTTTCAGCCTGAGCTCCTACTTGAATTCCAAAGTTAAGTACCAATGCACCTGTTTGATTTTAGAGGGTGAGGAGAGAACTTATGAATATTTGAAAGCTTGAACTTGAGGTCATGGCACAGACTTCCTCTCCTCCAGCCTCACCTTTTGGTCTCGTTTCCCCCTTCCTGTCCCTGCTTTCTTCCCTTCCCTTCCATTTCTTTCCCATAGAGCCTCGCTCTTCTTCACGCCTTATCCCCACCTGGGGCACCAGTCCCACTGGCCCCATGAAGGGAAATCATTTCAGCCCTCCTATGCGAGCCCCCCAGAGGGGTCTGCATGGCTTCCTAGTGGCTCTGGAGATGGGAAAGTTTGCCGTGAAGGAGAAGAGACCAGGTGACATGGCTGAGCGCTGAATGAAAGGTTGAGAGAGATTCCAAGTGGACTTTGAGCTGTTAAACCTCAGGGTGGAGGTGGGGGTCAGAAGGAGGGTGGTAAGACCTTATCCCCACCTGGGGCACCAGTCCCACTGGCCCCATGAAGGGAAATCATTTCAGCCCTCCTATGCGAGCCCCCCAGAGGGGTCTGCATGGCTTCCTAGTGGCTCTGGAGATGGGAAAGTTTGCCGTGAAGGAGAAGAGACCAGGTGACATGGCTGAGCGCTGAATGAAAGGTTGAGAGAGATTCCAAGTGGACTTTGAGCTGTTAAACCTCAGGGTGGAGGTGGGGGTCAGAAGGAGGGTGGTAAGAAGGATGAGGGCAGGAAGGCCATGTTACCAAACCAAACTTGGGTCCACTCACCCGTGCGTAGTAAAGCCAGTCTACTGTCACCAGGTTGTGGTGAAGGGAAGTTCAGCGTTTATTGCCAGTGCCAAGAAAGAAGAATGGGCAGCTCATGTGCAAAAGACCTGAAGTACCTGACGGCTTTCAGAGAAGGGGTTTTAAAGGCAGTGGGCGGGAGGGGTCTGCAAGGTGCGTTATCAGCTCATGCACAATTCCTTGATTGGTTGGCATCAAGGTGAAGTTCAAGCATCATCAACTTTTTGGTTTCAACCAATCTAGGGTGTGTGTTCTTGTGGTCACAATTTTCTTCTGGTTCTGCTTCCTGCAGAAACAACTTAGGGATGTGAGTCAGGCCTTTATCTACACCTTTCAGGGAACTGGGACTTCAGGTGATTCTGCTATGTGGCGGATTTATAGTCTAAATTGTTACAAGTTTCCTGGCCCAACAGCTAATCTTTGTTTCTACATCTCCACATTCCTAATCATTAACTCTTGAGCCAGCCTTTTGAGACCCAGAGGAGGCCTGGGAGACTAAAGGAAAAACCTTTGACTTCAAAGGACAGGGGCCCCAGGGCTTGTATATGGTTTCCGTGGTTTGGGGGCCACATGATCACTTCAAATTTAGAAACAGTAGTTTTAGCCAATCCCTGGATTCCAGGTAAAATAGACTTTCTCTGATCTATCTCCCCACCAGCCTCCAGTTGGCCTGAAATTCTATCTTCACCACACGTCTAGGAATCTTGGGTTAAAGTAAATATGCTCATGGAGGATGGCGTGATAGCATATGTCATGTTTATGTTAGCATCCAGCAGGGCTCTGTGGGAACGAGGTTGAAGAGAAGAGGAAAGATCCAGGCTGACCCCTGGATTCTAGGGGAGCCGGATGGGGTGGGGTGGGGCTGACCTCAAAGTTCCCATCCCCATGGGACAGAGAACTGTAGGGAATTATTGAGCATCTACTTTATCCCAGAAATTATCCTAGAAAACTGAAGTGCACTTACACTCTTATGATAATACTAAGTGAATTATATTCTGAGTCCCATTTTGCAGAAGAGAAAAACGCAAGGGTCCTAAGTAACTTCCCCAGAGTCACAAGGCTTAGCAGGTATCAAGCTAGAATGTAAATCCTGAGCTAGCAAATCCGGCTGATTCTCAAGTTCCAGCTGCTTTCAGAGCCTCTGGGAGGGCCCCAGGCAGGCAGGACACCCTGGCAGGTGGGAGGGAGGCTTTGTCACATCAGGCTTCCTGCCCCTCTTCCCCACCTTCCCCCAGCTTCCCCCCCTTCCCCCCACCCCTGGATTTGGAACCGCCTACTGGGTGACTTGTGATGGCCTGGTGACTCCTGTGGACACGGTGGGGTAGCCATGAGGACACCATGGGACACCTTTCTTAGTGCCATCACGGGGATGGGGATCAAGGATGTATGCTTTCCTTTTTCTGGTTCTCTCCAGGTGAAGGCCTCAGCGCTGCCCATAGTAGGGGGGGCCCATCCAGGTGTGGTCCATGGGACTCTAAGCTCCAGCCAGGGGATGGGGGCAAAATAACATTGCCTGATTCCTTAGGAAGCAACTAAAACTAGAGCCACCCTTGGTGGTTGGACGGGAAGTGGAGATCAAAGAGCTTCAGCTGCAGTGGGGGCTCTGTCCCGAGCTTCTTCACAGAAAATGTCACACGCTTTGGGTTTGGAAAGGCTTTTCTCATCTATTTCCCTTTTAGGAAGTAAGTGGTATCTTTTCCCCCATTTGACAAATGTGGAAACAGAGGCAGAATTATTACATGATTTTTATGAGAAATAGTAAAACTGAAACCAGATCTCAGGTCTCCGAGTTCTTAGCCTGCCTCTGTGTAGTATCAGAAGCCTAAAGGCAGAAGAGAAATCGCTCCGGGGAGGAGTATCGCCCTGTACTTGGCAAACGGCCTCTTCTCTCTCAGAAAGGGCCACCCAGGGGAGCTGAGGGGAAGGTTCAAGGAGGAGACACGTGGCCTCAGGGCTGGCAAGTCCTGCTGCTGGAATTCACTCCCCCAGCAGAGGTGACTGGTGAGCACCCACCTCGGCTGCACTTGGGGACGGGGCCATCAGCAGCGGAGCCCTTGCCCTCTGGGAACTTATCTGTTAGGGGGAAAGTTTCAAAATAAACACAATAAACAAACCAGAAAATTTAAGGCACTGGCAAATGTCCTGGAGAAAACAGATTGCAGTGACAGGCTCTGGAGGTGGGCGGTTGGCTTCGCAGGGTAGTCGGCAAGGCTTCTGAGGATGGGACATTTGAACTGAGACCTCTGTGATGTTTGGGGCCCGAGGATGGATAGGTCTGGGGGAAGGGGTTCCTCACGGGGGCGCAGGTGCCAGGCTTGGTGGGAAGATGGGCTGGCGGGGCCCAGGGACAAGGCCGCTATGGCTGGAGCCTAGGAGATAGATGTGGCTGCACAAAGCAGGGTGCAGGTGCAGGGAGAGGACAGGGTTGCACAGCTGGAGGCGTCCCACTAACAGGATTCCAGGGCCCTCCTGCACTGATCCTTGCTACCTGCTCTGACCTCCTAGCTCCTAACCGCAGTGGGTTCTGCTTTCTTTATAGAGAGAGGATGAAGCAAGATGCTCTGTGCTATCATTTGGAATGATCTTTACAGCACACTATATACCTCTGCCATGGGTTTTCCTCCTTTCCCTTCCCAAGTTCACGGCAGGCTCTTGACCCAGGAGCAGACATGTCATAAGCATCTGTGTGTGTGTGTGTGTGTGTGAATGTGTGTGTGTGTGTGTGTGTGTGTGTGATTGACCTTGGACAGAGTATTTGAGAACAAAACAAAACAAAACTCACAGATATTAACCGCAATGGCTAAATCTGGGGCTGAACCCTGACCAAGCTCACTCTTTTCAGTCAGGAGTCAGGATATTCCCTTGAGCTGCAAAGACAACCTTTCTGTGCCCTCACTCCTTGAGAAGAATTTGTTTATTGCTCCATTAGAGAAATTCATGTTGATCATAAAAATTAGGAAAACATAGAAAAGGAGAAAAAGCAACCACTGCTAATTATAGTTAACTTTATATTTACTTACAAAAAAAGAAGGCTGAAGAAGTAATGGGAAGGAAATACATCAAAATATGAGAGCCTGGCAAAAATTATTGTACCCATCATTTTCTGCCTGCATAATTGTCCATATAACTGATGAATCATAGTTTATAAAGCATCTACCCTATGGTTGTATATTTAAGTTATCTCCAAGTTTTCCACTATAAAAAATTATATTTAGTAATTACACAGCTTTGTGCCTCCCTGCCCCCGATGATATTCTTAGAATCTCAGGATAGATTCTCAGAAAATGCCGTTACTGAATGAAAACGTATAAATGCTTTTAAAGTTCTTGACACTTATTTCCAAAAGAAGTGCCAGTTTATATGAGAGCTGCTGACCAATTTGCAAGGTGGACTCTGCCCCAGGGTAGCTGTGTGTGTGTCTGTGCGGGCGACAGTGGCACCTCGGTGAGAGAGGTGACACAGAGGAAGGGCGTCTAGGTTTGCGGGAAGGAAGTGGGCAGGTGAAGGACACGGAGACACCTGGCCGGGGGCTCTCGCAGGCCAGGTCCTTCAGCCTGGAGACTTCCCCCGTGGAAGCCTGGGGACAAATCCTGATGCCTCTGTCTGCGGAGCCGTGTGATGTTCATGTCTTGGAAACGTGTGGGGAGGACAGCACAGAGAGCGCTAGCTGTCAGGGGCCCTGGTCCCTGCTCTCTGCGTGGCTGTTCCCTGCAGCCCAGCGGAGCGGCCCCCAGCTGTGCCACGGGCAGCAGGAGCTTGGACCGCGTTATTAACATCCAATCAAACGATCATACATCGTTGACTGGGAACATTTTCTTCATTTGGAAAATTATATTTTGAGCATTGTCCTTCAAATGAGGGTGGCTTGGAAGGCACTTTCCATCTGGGGTTTAATTCTTGTTCCAGAAACTATAGAACACATTCATGCCAGCACTGAAAAAATCAAACCCCCAAAGGCAGGATTTTAGGTTTTATGAAATCTTGTGATGGGATTAGTGCCCTCATAAGAAGAGGAAGAGAGAAAAAGGACTCCCTCCCTCTCCTTCTCTCTCCCTCTCTCTCCCTCCCTCTCTGTCTCCCCTCACCTCCCTTTCTCCGTGTGTGGCACCGGGAAAGGCCAGGTGAGGAGGCTGTTTACATGCCAGCAAGACAGTGATTTGCTGGCACCTTGGTCTTGAGCTTTCAGCCTCCAGAATCCTGAGAGAATAAATGTCTGTTGTTTAAGCCGCCCCGTCCGTTCGTGCTGTTTGCTGTAGCAGCCGGAGCCGACTGGGAGGACATCTCCTCCTTGACGCCTCCCTTCCGCCCCACTGTGTCCACCTGTCACCCTTCTGTCCTTGCTCGCTGCCTCCTTCACGTGTGTCACGGGGTTTACCACAGTGCACGCTGCCCAGCTGGACGGTCCTGGGGGACGGCCCGAGTCCTTCTCCTGGTGGGTGTAGAGCAGAGCCCGGGAGATACCCAGCTACCTGGTTGGGGGGGGTGGGGCATGGCTGATGGTCGTGCGCATATTCCTGCACCTCTCCCGGTGCTCAGTTCATCTTGACGGAGGACCGCCTGGGTACATCTGTCCTCGGAGACCAGGGACCCCTCACTCCTGTGGAACCGGCTGCTCTGTGGTTGTTTGCTGGATCGCACACCTAACTTGGACGTGTGACCTTGTGTGTGTGTTTGCTGGGTGTGCTGTGTGTGTGCTCTGTGTGTTTGCTGTATGTTGTGTATATGTTTGCTGTGTGTTTATGTGTTTGTTCTGTGCGTGTGTGTTTGCTGTATGTCATGTGTGTATGTTTGTGGTGTGTGTGTGCTGTGTGTTTGCTGTTTGTGTGTGTGCTCTGTGTGTTTGTTTGCTGTATGTCATGTGTGTATGTTTGCTGTGTGTTTTGTGTGTGTGCTCTGTTTGCTGTATGTCATGTGTGTATGTTTGCGGTGTGTTGTGTGTGCTGTGTGTTTGCTGTGTGTGTGTGCTCTGCGTGTTTGCTGTATGTCGTGTGTGTGTGTTTGCGGTGTGTTGTGTGTGTGCTCTGTGTGTTTGCTGTATGTCATGTGTGTATATTTGCGGTGTGTCGTGTGTGTGCTCCGTGTGTGGTGTGTGTGTGTTTGCTGTATGTTGTGCATATGTTTGCTCTGTGCGTGTGTGTGTTTGCTGTGTGTTATGTGCCTATGTTTGCGGTGTGCTGTGTGTGTGTGTCTCCTGCTCTCTCCAGCTCTGCTGTTTCACAGCCTCCTCCTTGCTTGGCAGCCTGGCACTCAGACCCTGGCCCCTGGGTTGTGCCCTTGGGTTAAGTCACAGCCTCTCTGAGGTCAGGCTTTTCATCTGAAACATGGAGGTGGCCCCTCCAGGAGCCACCTGGCTTGACCTGTGCACCCCCTCCAGTGGCCGGAAGGGCCCAGTCAGGGCCGCCCTCAGGACTGGCCTCTCCCTGACACACTGACCCACGCATCCCTGGCCACCCTGCCCCCTCCCAGGCTTTCCCTCCTACCATAACCTGATATTTCTTTTTCTTTTTTCAAAATCCGTTTTATTAAGGTGTAATAGATATGCAATAAAGTTCATCAACTTTCGTGTCTAATTTGATGACAAATGTGCATGATTGTGTAACTACCACCACAAGCATCATAGGGAACACTGCCTTCACTCCACAAACTTCCTTCCTCGTGCAGTTAATTCTCTCCCCACCACAGTCCCGACAGCCTATATATAGTTGAAACCTTTTGTAAAATTTTGTTACAGTGAAATCCTGTCTGTGGTTCAGTCCTATTTGATGGCTGGATAGTGTTCCATGGTGTGAATATAACAATTTTGTTCATTCACCAGCTCACGAACCCTTGAATTTTCCCAGGATTTGGCCGTAATGAGTAAAGCTGAGGTGGATATTCACACACAAGTCTGTAAGCACGTCCCCTGGAAGCACGTAGAAGTGTGATCCTGGACAGCACAGTGAGTGTTTGTTTTACTTTACACAAAATTGCCAAATCATTTTCCTGACTAGTTGTATGACTTTGTGATCTCACCAGCAATGCAAGAATGTTCCAGTTGCTCCACATCTACTTCTTTTTGATTGAGCTTTGATACGTTGGTCATGCAAGAAATTTATCTTATAAAAGTTTTTGAGTTTAAAATTGCTTATTATCTTATTAGCTTTTTAAAGAATGTAGGATATAAAGGGACAACTCTTTCATTCCAGACCAGTTTGGAAATGTGTTTCTTCTGGCTTTTTCCTGAACAGTCTGACCAGAGTTTTACCAATTTGATTTCTCTGTTCAAAAAAAAACCCAGCTTTCGGTTTCATTGATTTACTCTATTGTTTTTCCTCTTCTTTGATTTTGATTTTTATTGTTACGCTTTCCTTCTTTCTGTTTATTTTGGATTTCTTTTGCCTTCTTCTAGTTTCTTAAGGTAGAATCGGTGATTTGAGATGTTTCCTTCTTTTCTAACATGAACACTTAATGCTATAAATTTACTTCAAAGTACTGCTTTATCTCCATCCTACAAATTTTTATATATTGTGTTTTCATTTTCTTTCAGTACAAAATATTTTCTAGTTTAATGTTTTCAACCTATGCATTATATGGAGATGTGTTATTTAACTTTCAAATATTTGGGGATTTTCTAGGAGTCTGTTATTGATATCTAGTTTAATTCTGTTGTTATCAGGTAACATGATCTTTATGATTTCAATCTTCTTAAACTGGGGTCAGTAAACTCTTTCTGTAAAGGTCCAGATGGTAAAGAGCTCAGTCTTTGTGGGCTAGTATATACTCTCTGGAGCCACTACTCAGCTCTGCCGCTGTAGTGCAGAAGCAGCCGTAGATATAAACAATGTACATGTCTGTGTTCCAGAAAAACTTTACCTACAAAATTTTATCTACAAAAACAGGGAGTAGGCTAGATTTGGCTAAAGGATTAGAGCTTGTGGACTCCTACTCTTAAATGTGTTTGTAGTTATATGCCACTGAATATGTTTTTTCTTCATACATGCTCTGACTGCACTTGAAGAAAAATGCTTATTCTACTGTCACTGGGTACAGGTTTCTGTAGTGACAATGAGGTCAGCTTAGGTATAATTTTTTTTTAATTAATTTATTTTTGGCTGCGTTGGGTCTTCGTTGCTGTGCGTGGGCTTTCTTTTTAGTTGTGGTGAGCGGGGGCTACTCTTCATTGCCGTGCTTGGGCCTGTCATCGCGGTGGCCTCTCTTGTCTTGGAGCACCGGCTCTAGGTCCATGGGCTCTAGAGCACAGGCTCAGTAGTTGTGGCGCACAGGCCCAGCTGCTCTGCAGCATGTGGGATCTTCCCGAACCAGGGCTCGAACCCGTGTCCCCTGCATCGGCGGCAGACTCCTAACCACTGTGCCACCAGGGAAGCCCAGGTATGTTTTTTGTCTTCTCTCTCCTTACTGATTTTTTTCCCTCTTTGTTCCAGTAGCTCCTGAGAGGAGCACTAAAATCTCCAATTATAATTGTGGGTATATCTAGTTCTGTCTTTTTTTTTTTTTTTTTTATGTTTCTTATATTTGCTTAATATATTTTAAATCTGTTACTAGGTACATATTAGACGTGCTTACAATTTATGATTTTTTAAAATAAATGAACCCCTGTATTATAAAATTTCCTCTTTCTTCTCTGTAATATTCCTTCTTCTGAAATCTGTTTTGTCTGATATTGTTATGGCCATTCCAGCTTTCTTATGTTTAGTCTTTTTATGATATTTATTTTTCCATCCTTTTACTTTTAATACAGCTTCAATTTAAAGTGTGTTTCTTGCATCCATCGTATCATTAGTTTTACTTTCTAAGTCCAAGCTAATGATCCTTGACTTTATTTGGGGGGTTTAGTCATGTACATTTAATGTAATTATTGATATGATTGGTTTTAAATGTACCATCTTACTATTTTGTTTCTTTCTGTACTATCTATTCTTTATTCCTTTTCCTTCTTTTCCTGCCTTGTATTTGATTACATGAACAATTTTTTATGGGTCCACTTTATCCCTGCTACTGATTTATTAGAAATATAGTTTTAATTTAGTGCTTTCTTTGGGTTTACAACGTATGATTTTAACTGATCACAGTCGACTTTCACATAATATACCACTTCACATGCAGTATAAGACACTTATAATTGCATACTTCCATTTGCCTCTTCCTGTGCTTTGTGCCACTGTTGTTATACATTTTACTTTTATATGTGATAGTTCTTAAACATGTCCCCAGATCCCTTGAAATCCACCCCTCAAAAGATGGGGTGTAATTCACCTCCCTTGAGCATGGTCTGGACGTACTGACTTCCTTCTGGAGACTAGAATATGGTGGAAATGACAGTGGGTGACTTCTGAGATCATAAAAAGCATCGCAGCCTCCACCTTGCTTTCTCTCTTGGATTACTGATTCTGGGGCAGGCCAGCTGCCACATCAAAAAGACACTCAAGTTGCCTATGTGGAGAGGCCTCCTGCCAGCAACCAGTGAGTCACTGAGGTCCACTGCCAACAGCCATGTGAGGGAGCCATCTTGGAAGCAGATTCTCCAGCCCAGGTCAAGGCTTCAGACGACAAAACCCTCCACTGACACCTTGACCACAACCTCTTGAGAGACTCTGAGCCAGAATCACTCAACTAAGCCACTCCCAAATTTCTGACCCTCCATAACTATGAGAAAACAAATGTTTGTTATTCTAAGACAAGTGTTTATGATAATCATTTATGTATCAATTAATAACTAATACAAACTCACTTTGATTATTTTTGTTTTCAGCAGTCAATCAACTTTTAAAGAGGTTAAGACATTATTTTACATTTCAGCAGAAGCAAGAGGAACTACAATCCTGCAGCTTGTGGAACGAAAACCACATTCACAGAAAGATAGACAAAAATATCACTGAAGAAATCAAAGAAGAAATTAAAAAATACATAGAAACAAATGACAATGAAAACACTGTGACCCAAACTTATGGGATGCAGCAAAAGCAGTTCTAAGAGGGAAGTTTATAGAAATTCAATCTTACCTCAAGAAACAAGAAAAATCTCAAATAAACAATCTAACCCCACACTTAAAACAACTAGAGAAAAAATAACAAAGAAAACCCAAAGTCAGTAGAAGGAAAGAAATCATAAAGATCAGAGCAGAATAAATGATATGGAAATGAAAAATACAATAGCAAAGATCAATAAAACTAAAAGCTGGTTCTTTGAGAAGATAAACAAAATTGATAAACCCTTAGCAAGACTCATCAAGAAAAAAAGGAAGAGGATGCAAATCAATAAAATTAGAAATGGAAAAGTAGAAATCAAAACTGACACCGCAGAAATACAAAGGCTTATAAGAGACTACTACAAACAACTGTATGCCAATAAAATGGACAACCACGAAGAAATGGACAAATTCTTGGAAAGGTACAATTTTCCAAGACTGAACAAGGAAGAATTAGAAAATATAAACAGACCTATCACAAGTAATGAAATTAAAACCATAATTAAAAATCTTCCAACAAACAAAAGTCCAGGACCAGATGGTTTCACACATAAATTCTATCAAACATTTAGAGAAGAGCTAACACTTATCCTTCTCAAACTCTTCCAAAAAATCGCAGAGGGAGAAACATTCCCAAATTCATTCTATGAAGCCACCATCACCCTGATACCAAAACCAGAAAAAGATATCACAAAAAAAGAAAATTATAGACCAATATCACTGATGAACATAGATGCAAACATACTGAACAAAATACTAGCAAATAGAATCCAACAACACATTAAAAGTATCAAGTGGGACTTATCCCAGGGATGCAAGTATTCTTCAATATACGCAAATCAATCAATGTGATACACCACATTAAAAAATTAAGGAATAAAAACCATATGATCATCTCAATAGATGCAGAAAAAGCTTTTGAAAAAATTCAACACCATTTATGATAAAAAACTCTCCAGAAAATGGGCATACAGGGAAACTACCTCAACATAATAAAGACCATATATGACAGACAAACAGCAAGAATCATAGTCAATGTTGAAAAACTGAAAGCATTTCCACTAATATCAGGAACAAGACAAGGATGTCCACTCTCACCACTCTTATTCAACATAGTTTTCGAAGTCCTGATAGCCACAGCAATCAGAGAAGAAAACAGAAATAAATGGAATAAAAATTGGAAAAGAAGGGCTTCCCTGGTGGCGCAGTGGTTGAGAGTCCGCCTGCCGATGCAGGGGATACGAGTTTGTGCCCCAGTCCGGGAAGGTCCCACACGCCGCGGAGCGGCTGGGCCCGTGAGCCATGGCCGCTGAGCCTGCGCGTCCAGAGCCTGTGCTCCGCAACGGGAGAGGCCACAACAGTGAGAGGCCCATGTACCGCCAAAGAAAAAAACAAAAACAAAAAAAACAAAAACAAAATTGGAAAAGAAAAAGTTTGCAGATGACATGATACTATACATAGAAAATCCTCAACATGCCACCAGAAAACTACTAGAACTAATCAATGAATCTGGTAAGGTTGTAGGATACAAAGTTAATGCACAGAAATCTCTGTCATTCCTATACACCAACAGTGAAAAATCAGAAAGAGAAATTAAGGAAACACTCCCATTTACCATCGCAACAAAAAGAATAAAATACCTAGGAATAAACCTGCCTAAGGAGGTGAAAGACTTGTACTCAGAAAACTATAAAACACTAATGAAAGAAATCAAAGATGACATAAACAGATGGAGAAATATACCATGTTCTTGGATTGGAAGAATCAATATTGTGAAAATGACTATACTACCCAAAGCAATCTACAGATTCAATGCAATCCCTATCAAATTACCAACGTCATTCTTCCCAGAATTAGAACAAAAAATTATACAGTTCGTATGGAAACACAAAAGACCCTGAATAACTAAAGCGATCTTGAGAAAGAAAAACGGAGTGGAGGAATCAGGCTTCCTGACTTCAAACTATACCACAAAGCCACAGTAATCAAGACAGTATGGTACTGGTACAAAAACAGAAATATAGCTCAATGGTAGAGGATACAATGCCCAGAGATAAATCCACGCACATGTGGGCAACTAATTTACGACAAAGGAGGCAAGAACATACAATGGAGAAAAGACAGCCTCTTCAGTAAGTGGTGCTGGGAAAACTGGACAGCTACATGTAAAAGAATGAAATTAGAACACTCCCTAACATCATACACAAAAATAAACTCCAAATCGATTAAAGACTTAAATGTAAGACCAGACACTATAAAACTCTTAGAGGAAAACATAGGAAAAACACTCTTTGAAAAACCACAGCAAGATCTTTTATGACCCACCTGCTAGAGTAACAGAAATAAAAACAAAAATAAAGAAATGGGACTTAATTAAACTTAGAAGCTTTCGCACAGGAAAGGAAACTATAAGCAAGACAAAAAGGCAACCCTCAGAATGGGAGAAAATATTTGCAAATGAAACAACAGACAAAGGATTAAACTCCAAAATATACAAACAGCTCATGGAGCTCAATATCAAAAAAACAAACAATCCACTTAAAAAATGGGCAGAAGACCAAATAGACATTTCTCCAAAGAGGACATACAGATGGCCAAGAGGCACATGAAAAGCTGCTCAACATCACTAATTATTACAGAAATGCAAATCAAAACTACAATGAGGTATCATCTCACACCAGTTAGGATGGGCATCATCAGAAAATCTACAAACAACAAATGCTGGAGAGGGTGTGGAGCAAAGGGAACCCTCTTGCACTGTTGGTGGGAATGTAAATTGATACAGCCACTATGGAGAACAGTATGGAGGTTCCTTAAAACACTAAAAATAGAATTACCATATGATCCAGCAATCCCACTACTGGGCATACACCCTGAGAAAACCACAATTCAAAAAGACACATGCACCCCAACGTTCACTGCAGCACTATTTACAATAGCCAGGTCATGGAAGCAACCTAAATGCCCATCGACAGATGAATGGATAAAGAAGATGTGGTACATATATACAATGGAATATTACTCGTCCATAAAAAGGAACAAAATTGGGTCATTTGTAGAGATGTGGATGGACCTAGAGAGTGTCATACAGAATGAAGTAAGTCAGAAAGAGAAAAACAAATATCGTATATTAACGCATATATGTGGAATCTAGAAAAATAGTACAGATGAACCTATTTGCAGGGCAAGAATAGAGATGCAGACGTAGAGAATGGACATGTGGACACAGTGGGGGAAGGGGAGGGTGGGATGAACTTGGAGGTTAGGATTGACATATACACACTATTTTGTGTAAAATAGTTAGTGGGAACCTGCTGTAGAGCAGAGGGAGCTCAGCTCAGTGCTCTGTAATGACCTAGATCGGTGGCATGGGGGGTGGGGTGGGAGGGAGGTCCAAGAGGGAGGAGATATATGTATACATAGAGCTGATTCACTTCATTGTACAGCAGAAACTAACACAACATTGTAAAGCAATTATACTTCAATAAAACAAACAAAAATCTGGTAGCAATGAGAATTCATTAATGTTTCTTGCTCTAAAACACCTTTAGCTTCTATTTAAAAAAACATTTTTATTTGGATATAATTTTAAACTCACACAGAAGTTGTAAATTTAATACAGAGAGTTCCATATACCATTTACCCAGCTTTTCCCCGATGACAACATCTTACATTATATTATATGACAGGTTTAGCAAAGCCAGAAAACGGACATTACAAAAATACTATTAACTCAACTGGTTTTTACACACACTCATTTTGGGGGGCACACAATTCTATGAACTTTTATCACATTTGTAGCCCTAGGGTCTCCACCACCTCATTCAGGGGTCTCTTTAGTTTCCCTTCTTGTGCTGTGAACTGGAAACCGCTTCGGGTTGTAACCCAGGATAATTGTCAGGCTCATCTTATTTTTTTTCCTTCTTTCAGGAACCATACTTCTGTGCTGTCAGTGTCCTATGGCTGAAAATCACTATTTCATATAGATTTGCCCAGTTTTCTAGTTAATTTTAGTGGGGAGATAAATTAGGTACCATTTATGCACATGGATGGAAGTGTGAGTATACATGCTGGGAAAATTTAATTGCTCATTTCACTTTCTCAGGCAAAAGTAGTGGAGTTGACAAGTCATCACATTGGTGACGAGCTGTCTCTTGAGTGGGGAGAGCCCCAGGTTGAACTCTGAATTTCCTCTTCTTCACAGGAGCCCATGTTTATGTGACTGTTACCGTCTTCAAAGGCTTGCTGTGGTCGCCTGATTTTCTGTGTCAGTTTTTCCTCAAATTAGAATCAACTGGTTATCCTTCACCAGTCATCCCCCATTTTTTTGTTCAACTTCCCTTGCTTTCTGCCGGCTCTCTGTTAATTCCACTTTTGGATCAAACTCTTACATTCAGAACTGTCAGTTTTAACACAATCCCAGACTCGGCAACTTTGTTGTGTCAACTTTTTCTGTCGAATACCGTTGTGTCACCAGGTATTTACAGAAATCAAAGCCTTAGAGAATGTCAGAATTGATGAGGTTAAGTGTTACGAATGACAGTCATTTGGTTTTGTAGCTAACAAAGTAAGCATTAAAGCTTATTAATTACATGAAAATGTTTCCTGAAGGATAGTTAATGTCAAGGCAAACTACCCTCTGTGGTGAGATTGTCAGGCTCGAGGGAGGGTCAGAGAGGGAAGAGGAGCCATCACGCTTCCCTCATGTTTAGCTAAAGCTGCCAATGAACAGAACGAACAAAATTATAGAGATATATTTATTGTTTTTAGGTCTCAGTCTCTGCTGTTCTGAGAAACTCATTTTTCCTTCCTGTCTACCTACCCACCATGTGAGGATGATAACTCAGGACGTATCCAGGATACACTGCCACAGTGAATATCAAAGTCATTTGAAAAGCATGTTGGAATAAAACGTTCTTACGGTAAAAGAAGGTAGTTATAAATACCAGCTAAAACCGTGTGACCAAAATACCTTCCCAGGAGCACCTATACTGGTGTCTCATTGAGTGACGGGACTGCAGCTAAGCCGACACCAATAGACCGTCACTGTCCAGTGCACCCCTTTGTGAACTTGGTACCATACAAAATTCCTTAAACCACACTTAATTTCTAACTAAAGACAATAACAAAGTCATACTTCAGCCCTACATGATACAACTATTCTATGTACAACAAAATCAGGCCAACCCTTCCCCCAGAAGGGGATGCAGAGTCAGTCCTTGAGTGAAGCCCACTCTTATTCCTCGATATCCTGTAGCATAAACACTATGCTGTAACGTTCACTACTATTAAGACATTTTGTGTGAGATGATAAGGGGACAATAGAAGAAAGCAAAGAAAATATTTGGGTAATGTATATGCAAACAGAACAAAATAATGAAGTTCTTACAACTATTACAGGCCTTGTATCTGCAACAGTTTCTATGGTTGTAGCTGGTATTTATAACTAATTCTTCTACTACCTGTTCCACATTCCCTTTGCCTTCAGCGAGCACTTCAGCTGGCTGTGGTTCTTTGCCTTTGCCTGGTGAAGTGCTCCAGACCTGCATTCCAGAAGCATCTGGGCTATTAGCACTCTCCACAGAATTGGATGGTGGTAGTTTTCCATTGACTTTCAGGACATGACGGTACTAAGAGTCACAAAGGGATATTCTGTATTCCAGATGTGCTCTTCTTTACCTCCGTTGTGTAGGAGCTACCAAATTTCCCTTTGGGAGTCAAAGTCATTCACCCCATCAGTATAGCAAACCCTTTCTTTGCCTGTTGATTCAGAGGGATGAGGAGATCAAAGTGGCTGGATGCAATCTTAACTTTTATTTCAATGGAATCATTGTTTTCTTCCCCCTGATGGAAGCAATCTTTTATTTGGAACTAAGACCTCTAGATGAGTAGAGCCTAAGGTCACAAGGATGGGAAACAACAATTTTGCTAGTGGATCACCGTTGTTAATAATGACTAGAGCCACTCCTATTTCTGTGTCTTGATTACAGGACATGTGAATCCCGGCTCTGGGGGAAACAGCATCGTATGTTGGACGGTGATTCAGCACAGTCAGTCTTCTGGAGAACTTTGCCCCACCCTGCAAGATATCAGCCGTCTGGCTTGTGCTGTAATTGAGTCTTCAAAATGCCATTCCATCTTTCTGTCAAGCCAGCTGCTTCAGGATGGTGGGGAACATAGTAAGACCAGTGAATTCCACGGGCGTGGGCCCGTTGCCATGCTTTGTCTTCTGCGAAGTGAGTTCCTTGACCAGAAGCAGTGCCGTGTGGTGTACCATGACAGTGGATAAGGCATTCTGGTTGGTAGTTTTGTCAGAAGCACTGCATGGGGAAGGTACACCTGTATCCAGATTAAAGGTCTATTCCGGTAAGGACAAAGCACATCCTCTTCCAGGATGGAAGTGGTCCAGTGCGGTCAACCTGCTGACTGATGACCCCAGGGAATGGTGCCATATTAATGGCTCAGTGTTGGTCTCTGTGCTGGCAGACTGGACACTCAGTGATTAATGATTAATCACATCTACAAAATACCTTCACAGAAACACTGCGGAAGGGGATGGAAGTGGGTTTTGTTCTTCAGGGATAAATGAAATAATGGAGTTGATGATTTATCATCTATCACCTATGTATTAATGAGCCATTTGAGAAGTCTGTTCTTAGCGATGCAGGCACTGACTCACCAGTGGAATCACAAAAGGGAGTTCAAGGCTTGGGTGTGCAAAGTGAGTGTTCATCTGTGTCTGGGAACACAGTGGAGTAACTTACATGGAAAACCTTCACCACCCAGAAATACTGGTTACAATGGACCATGTATTTTCTAAAAAACACAGGGAGTTGAGCCATTCAATAAGCATGTTACTAAACACCATCTGGGGATGGAGTGACGAACCCAGTGTGGTTCTGCCTGAAGAAATATATGGAATAAATGAACACCTCAGTCCGGTCAGAGTGGCCATCATCAAAAAAACTACAAATAATAAATGCTGGAGAGGGTGTGGAGAAAAGGGAACCCTCCTTACACTGTTGGTGGGAATGTGAATTGGTGCAGACACTATGGAGAACAGCATGGAGGTTCCTTATAAAACTAAAAATAGAGTTTCCATATCATCTAGCAATCCCACTCCTGGGCATATATCTGGAGAAAACTATAATTAAAAAAAAATACATGCACCCCTATGTTCATAGCAGCACGATTTACAGTGGCCAAGACATGGAAGCAACCTGAATGTCCGTCGACAGGTAAGTGGATAAAGAAGACGTGGTGTATATATACCATGGAATATTACTCAGCCATAAAAAAGAATGAAATAATGCCATTTGCAGCAACATGGATGAACCTAGAGATTATCATACTCAGTGAAGTAAGCCAGACAGAGAAAGACAGATACCATGATATCACTTATATGTGGACTCTTAAAAAATATACAAATGAACTTATTTACAAAACAGAAATAGACCCACAGACATACAAAACAAATTTATGGTTACCAAAGGGGAAAGGAGAGGGGCAGGGGTAAATTAGGAGGTTGGGATTAACACATACACACTACTATATATAAAATAGATAACCAACAAGGACACACTGTACAGCACAGGGAACTCTACTCAATATATTGTAATAACCTATAAGAGAAAAGAATCTGAAAAAGAATATGTATATATCTGGGTCACTGTGCTGTACACCTAAAACTAACACAACATTGTAAATCAACTGTATTTCAATAAAATTTTCAAAAAATGAACACCAAAGTCAGGATGGTGGTTTCCTTTGGCATGAGGCTGGGGTGAAGTGGAGGAGGGAAAGCTAACTTGAGAAGAGTTTTAGTTCTTCAGCTGTGTGAATAGTCCGTGAGTGTTTAATATGTTATACATTAAAATGTTGTCCATACATTTTGTTAATTCAGGAATACGTAATGGAAAATTACATTCTTTATATGTTATCAACTGGGTAGCTCTAGAAATATGGATAGTTTTCTGATAGAGGGCATGTATGCACATATGTATGTATGTATGTATGCGTTTCCAGGGTTGAATATCTCTTCTAGGAAAACGCAGGAGCCTGACCCCTTAGTAAAGTTTCTGATGTTCTGCTGATCTGAACTTTGTTGGGACTCATCTCAAAAAGTTAAGCACGAGGAGTTATCTCCTGACCCTCTCATCACTAGGAAAAAGGCACTCTTAGTTAAACTGAAATGTTCTGGTCCAACTAACTTTTTTAAATTGTTATTTTATAGTGGAGTACAGTCGATTTACAATGTTGTGTTAGTGTCAGGTGTACAGCAAAGTGATTCAGTTATACATATACATGTATCTATTCCTTTTCAAATTCTTTTCCCATTTAGGTTATTACAGAATAACTACTTTGACAGGTAACTGGAGAAGCTATTAGCTTTGAGTCGAGCCCAGATTAAGGGAGAGTCCTCCAATTGGTCCTGGCTGCAGGGCAAGAAGGTCCGCCTTCAGCCCTTACGGCAGCAGAGCTCATGGTACCTACAGAGGCTGAGACATTTGGGTTGATGCCTGGAGCCTGTAGCAAACCCCTGGGCATAGGGAGCAAATCTATGCTTTCCTTGGCAAATGACATTCTCTTTTGGAGAAATGGCCTCTAGCTTGCTGCTAGGCTGACCATGGACATAGGTGATCTGATGTGCCCTTCAAGAACCCGGGAACATCTGAGCTGTCCAGACATAGACTGGACTTGCCCAGCAGCTGTCTATCGTCAGATGACGATGACATTTGTGGCACCTGCAGTAGCAGGACCCGGAGGTGTCAGCACTTGGCAAGCAAGCCTCTCACAGAGTGCCTGGTCCGTGCCTGCGAGAAGTTACTCATGGACGTTGACTGGAAAAGACAAAAGCCCAGTTTGGGATAGTTCTGTGTGACACGCTGACATAAGCTAGACATGGGCTGCTTCAGCTCCGTGATGCTCGGAAAGACGATGGAGAAGGGAAACTTGGCCTCTTCCATCATTCCCTGATATCTTATACTCATCATCAAATCCCAAACTGGTCTTGATCCGGGTGTTTTCTTCGCAGCAAAAGAAGGAAGGCGATGAGCAGGTGCTTATGGGATTTCTGAGCTCATCAAACAGCTCGCCATCCAGAAGTTGTTGACCTTACAGGAATAGAATGACTATTAGAGACCTAGGGGAGGGATAAGTTAGGAGTTTGGGATTAACATATACTATATATAAAATAGGTAATCAACAAGGACCTACTGTATAGCACAGGGAACTCTACTCAGTATTCTGTAATAACCTAAATGGGAAAAGAATCTGAAAGAGAATGGATATAGGTATATGTACAACTGAATCACTTTGCTGTACACCTAAAACTAACACAACATTGTAAATCAACTATACTCCGATGGAAAATAAAAATTAAATTAAAAAAAGACCTAGGCATGATGCCAAGGAGATTTTCCCGTATAAGTCTGAGGTACTGTCCTTCAGAATGACACACAAACTCTGATACAGTGAAACAGGGACGAATAGGTAGTGATCCTTCCATCATAGCCACCATACGTTGGTCTAGGAATCAAAGGATGAACATTAAGGTGGGTCCTCACACACTTACATCTGGAGACCCATTTGCAGCTATTTTGTATTTCTTGCTCCACTACTACGAACTTGGCTGAATCAGAGGTTTTAGAAAGTAAGCAACGTTTCAGCAAAAGACAAAGTAATGGCTCTTTTCATTGGAGGCTGAGACTAATACCTGGCGATTTTGGAATCTTTGTGTCGTTGGGCAAATGACACAAAAGGGAGTTCAAGGGTGGTCTGTGGTTGGGTGATTTGATTCTGATTCTGAAGGGAAGGGGCGCCACTAAGTACTGGGGGCAGGGAAGGGTAGGGATGAAACTCACTCTTTTGGGAAATGACACTAAGTTCTGATCAGCAATGGAGATGGCAGTGGAGGCTCTAAGTCTAAGAATTTGAAAGGAAGTCACTGTCACTTCCTCTTTAATTCTCCCTCCAGCCCAGAATGTCTTACCACTTATTATACAGCAAATCAGGGGCCTAGGCACAGAACTGAAACAGAGAGGTTCATAAAGACAGCTTAAGTTCTTGCTTGGATCACGGATAGATGTAGGGCTTCATAGGAAGAGCTCACCATCCGTGCTTGGATGCAGCCAAGGCTGTTCAGCCTGGCCTGTGACTCCTCACATCTCTAGGACTATAACAGCTCTCTGAGTTTTCTGAATTAATGGGATAATCCCGCCATGTAATATGTTACAGAAACTCCATTTGTATTTCAACAGAAGCACTTTGTCCATTTTCCCTCTAGCAAGTAGATTGATTTTGGTTAGTCATGGGAGACAATGCTGGCAGCATGAGAAGCTCACAGTGACATTTGTTAGGATCAGGGTAGTCTAACAATTGTACCCTTCAAACCCTTTTTGGAGGGCCTGTAAGGCGCTAGGCACTGTGCTAAAGAGTTACGATTGGCACACAGATCGGCTGCCTCTGATGACTCGACCAGTGAGGGGCACGCACTGAAGCACTGCATCTTAGATATGTTTTCAAAGCAGCACTTGTGCATGTGTTTTGAGGTATTCTGGTGCATCATACACACTTTTATCCTGAGTTGCAACTTTTCTTTCACGGCTATGCTGTGAGTAGCGAAATACGTATTGATGCAAAATCAGGGAAACGCTGGTGAGATCGACTATGGGTTTTAGAATCAGGGAAAGCCACGTTCAAATGTAGCTCTTTGGCTTACTGGCCACGGGAGAGCTACGGCTGTCTCATTTGTAAATGTGGCGAATGCTATTTACATCATGAGATCGTTGGAAAGATCGATGGAGAACTTGTATTAAAATACCTAGTGTGAGAAGACAATAAGTCTTCATTTCGCATTCCAAGCTTTGTATTTCTTTCGCTGCACTGTGATAAATTTACCTGGGCTGAAGAATTTTAAATAGTCAGGAAGCTCTCCTGTAAAGAAGACAGAAGAGAAAAGCCTCTATTTAAAGGTTTAATAACTTACTAGGTTGTTTTTACACTCTTCCTAGAGGGATTCTCTAGAATAGGTTATTTCTTCCAATTACTCCTCACGTTACACCGCACCCATGAATAAAGTGTGCGTAATTAACACACTGGATCTGATCACAGTGATGCCACCGTGTATAAGAAATCATCAAGAAGTTAATAAAGCAATGATGGAGGCTTTGGCAAGTGCGGTGCTGAATCTCAGAAATAAGTCAAAATACCATTACATCATCACACTTTTCCCAGCAAAAGGACTCAGAAAAGTAAGACATCATAATGTTCCAAGGAACGGAAGGAGATTGTCTTCCCTCTTGTGAGAATGCACACAGTCTGTTAAGAGAGGGAGGTTATAAATGTCCCTGCTTTTTCTTGTTGGGCCCTTGGACTCTCCCAGTTTTCAGGCTTGTCAGCCTGTGGATAGGTCAGTAGAAAGATCAGGTCTGGTCTGTGCCCTTGGCTTCAGTTCAGGGGGCAAAGGAGTTGTTATAACCCTTGCTTCAATACCAGTGCCAAGTTTTTTCTCCAAACTACTTTGCCATCAGTATAGCTGCTATCATATTTCCCATTTCGCTCAGCTGTTTGTATTTATATTTTAGCAGCCAGAGCTCTGGAGCAGGAGAAAAAGAGGGGGCCAGTAAATGGGAGGATTTGGGATACAACGCCAATGTTACCCTACAGCATCCTGGAATATTAGAGCTGGAAGGAATTGAGAGTCATTATAAAAAATGAAGTTCAGCTGGATGAAGAAAAATGAAATTCAGCTGGATGAAGTAAATTACCCAAGGTCACACAGCATGTCAGTGCAAGAGACACAAGTAGGACTCAGGATGGGGCAGTTTAATGGCCTTTTCTCTCACTCACGCTGCCTGTGACTCTGAACCATATGCTGTTGATCTGCTCTTTTCTTGAGGTGAAAAAGAAATTTTCCGGATTTTCCAACCCTTTATTTGTCTTGTTTTCCAGTGTTTAGGACCCGGATTATTGTCCTTTTCATGGGATCATGCTCCCATTTGCTAATGCTCCTTAATTTTGTGGCATCGCAGAGGTACT